AGAGTCAGCAGTGGTGGGTAGCCGAGTTGATGTGATAATGAGATAGACTGCTGCCCAGGCACGAGTATAATTTCACTCCAATATTGTGGCTTTCCTTCTCCATGCATTTATGCATGCATGTATGCCTACACAACACATAGTTACATTCTACGTCCCCTTTTGCTAGCATTCTGCTTTCACCACGACACTAATCAGCCAAAGTTGGAGCTATTATGTTGGATTTGCATCTGATTTACATTCCCGTGTTCAAATTTCACATAATTAAACCACATGTTTCCAATACACATAAGTAGGGAATTATTGTTGTTTGTATTATGTGCCTTTAATTTATGCAATATTATTTATTCAATGTTTTATTTTAAGTTGATTTATTCCCTTCTATAAAATGAACATTTTAAAATTATTTACTTCGAATTGACACATAACTAGAACTGTATGATGCATAATATGCCTGACAATATCGTGGAATCCTGGGGATTGTTTCGATCCATTCTGTGGATTTGGTGTTTGGTCCACGGTTGATTTAGACTTTGATTCATCAGTGTGATGTTCATCCGTAGGAGCCAGAGCACTACTTGAAATTGGATTTTAATGGATTTTCCATGAATCAGTCTTTGGAACTATAGTGTGCTAAATCAAGTCGTAGTAGGGAAGGGTGTGAGTTTAGTGATAATTGCTGGCGTCTGTCTGTTTCTACACGATATATGACGACTGGTGGTTGGTTCACTGGTTGGTGATCCACGACTAGCAGCAATTCTGGTAACTTTATCTATTATGCTATTCCAAGCAGCTCTACGTTTTGTTACCACCAAGCAAGAAGCCCGTAGTGACTCAGGGCTCTACTTGCAGAATATTATTCTTTTCCACAAAGGGAAAGAAAGAAGGCAAATGGTTAGCCATTAAGGTTATTAATTTATATATGGTCATCCATTTAATGTCAAAGACGACTTGAATTCTTCACTGGTTTACTTTACTTTTCTTGCAAAGATTTCTCACACTTTCTCAGAAAAACCAAATGTATGGCCCACAAAAACTCTCACGTATTCCAACCCAACACTTGAAATAAACTTATTGTGTATAATATTATATCTAATTATGTGGAAAAGTGATTTCCTGAAGCCTTGGTTGGGTTATGCGCATCATAATCATAGGATTTAACATCCGAGTAAGATTTGGGGAAACAATCTGCACAGACAAATATCACCGTGTTTAGGAATTCGCACATGTATACATAAGCGTTGCAATATGTATATTGGAAATTTCTACTCGTCTAAATGTCAAGTATCATGGCATGGCCAACTTTTTTTTACTGTCTGGCTGCTCATTTTTAGGGCAATGCAATTCGTGACAAGAATTTTCATTTGAAATATTTTCTAGTCAGAGCCGTTGGCAATTTGACGGAGAAAGTGCGGAAATCTCAAATCTTCTCGTGAATTGTGAAATCTGAATGTTGTCTCTCGCGTTACATAAAGCAATTGAAGACTTGATGATATTCAAGAATTTCTTGCTTGATGAAAATCTGGGACACGAACAATGTGCACTCTGACGATGTAGAAAAAAGTTTATTACAATTGCTGAATTTGACATTTGCAGTTTATGTTAAGCCATTTTTTTAGAGGAATTTGTTTAAAAATTAAAATATGCATATTTGACCTAACAATAAACTAACAATATAGCGATCAAATAAATTTTAATAAAAATACCACTAAACTTAACTAGTTAAGTTTATGAATACGTTTATAATGACTGCGTTAGTATTTTTCTTCGATTTTAAAATTTCTAATGTACTAACTATAAAATTATTTTAAATCTTGCTTCCACTGAGAATGAATCTTGTGTGGCTAAACAACGTGAATTTATCAGGGAAACAGTAAAACATGTTCTAAGGTTATTTCAGTTGAATGCAAAGAGAAATGGTCCCACACATGCATACGCTGTAGTCTCATTCTATCACATCGTAACACCCAACGGACCTAGCCCAAGTTTTATTTTTTCCACTCCAAATTAAGTTTGGAAGAAAGTTAAGAGCAAGTTCTGGAAGAAAATTTTGTAAAGAAGAAGCAAAGTATTTATCCGTGATGTTTATGAAAACAGATTAGTTTTCGTTGAAAATTGTCAGCGAAAATTATAATAAAAATATAACTGATGGAAATCAAACCATACAAACTATCACCCCAAAAACTTAAAAAAGTATAAAAATATAAAATATCGAATACATGTATAGTCAAAAATATGCACATGATGATATCACTTTGATTTAGCCGTGGTTTACGATGCAAAGACACGTGTTGTGCTGGTATAATTTAGGTTGAGATGGACTGAAGCACACCGCACCGCAATCACGATTTTCTCATGTTTGTCCATGAGAGAAGGTAAAACGGTTGAATTCCCATACGACAATTCATCTCCTCCGCTTTCCCCTCACCCTCAGAGAATGGATCCTGGTATGGCATCGATAGCCTTATTGCAACAGCGTATTAATGGCTGTTACAGACACTGCTCGATATTTATCAAGAGGGGAATTAAAGGAAGTAATGCCAAATACAGAGAGCTCAGAGGAAAGTTTGGGGTTTGGTTGGTTCGATTGTTAGCCCAAGCAATACTTTTACTTCAATTTTCGTTTGCTCATCAAGACAGATAGATTGGGAATTGGTCAAGACATGTTCCCAAGATTCATTTGGAGTTTGTTCTGCTTGTTACTCTGTCCGATGTACATATAGCAAAGCCTCCGCCAATGCTGCCATGGATGGACTAGAATATAACGTTAATGAGCGAAAACGTCGAAACTCCTACACATGCAGACTCACTCTTCCTTACATGCGTTGGTACATTGGAATGATCTTTTCTCATTGAACGGGGAATATACTTGGTGAGGTTTGTGCCGTGTGGATTTCCTGACTGGGAAGGAATTTAGAATTTTGCTCAGCTTTGTCCGACGCTGAGAAAGGAGAAGGGATTTACTTTCTTGGATTCGAGTCAGATGCACTAATGTTGCCGTTTCATTAAAGTTGTTGATCGTGGTGGTGTGTTGGGTTGAATTTTTGTAGCCATTTTTGCTACCACTTCCACGTTAGTTGGAGGCTTACGTGAAGAATTCTTCATGTGTGTGGCTGCAATCATCCAACGGTTGAGGAAAGACATTTCAGAGGATTGGATGAAACAGTTAGGTAAAGAAAATGCTGAGGAGACACAAATTATGGTTGCGTCTAATGATGAAAATTGGTCAAATGAAAATATCTCCTCTTCTCCAAGCCATTTCCAATCTCAGTCCGTCGTTACAAAAAGAAATCAAGCCGTTCATTCGGTGTTGGTTTCACAGTCACTTTCTCTCCGTCTCTCTCTCTTTCTCCGTTTTCTTATGTGCCGAGGACCCCGTCACAAACAGTGTGCATTCCAAAAGTATAACTCAGACCTAAGCTGGGCCCCATTTTTGTGCGTTTGAAGAGTATTTACGTACGTACATGTAGAATCAATTTTGTGTATTTATACAGCAGTCTCTACTCGATACCTTATTATGTAGGAGGACAGACAGCCCGTCCCCGGTGTGGCATTTTTGCAGCCAGTTTGGATGGCTTCAATCATGTTCAGTATACAGAAATAATTGATGACGATTTCTCTCCTTTGACATTTCTCGAGACGGCAAAGTTCCATAATATTCCATCCACTTATTAGCCTTATTGAATTTGGTTTAATTATAGTCGAATCCTCCGTAGTAAAGGGACGTAACTGATATGTCCTGTTGAGGGTGGAGCGTTTTATTGCTATTAATACATACGTACGTACTGCGAGGAACTCGACTTTGTGGGCTTGCTGGACATTACGTAAGGAATTGATAGATGAAAATCGCAAGGAGTGGTCCCTCATTTCAGGCAATGCGTATGCTGCCATCGAACATGGAATTTCACTCAAGCATTCCACTCCATTTATAGATAATGAGAAGCGGTCGAAAGGTGCAATTACTTTCGACGAATTTTACTATGTACATGCGTTTTCTGTATCAAATCTGTCTTCCACAAGGAGTCTGAATGGCTTCAATTACGACCTGTCATTCCGTTCGTTTACCAGAAACTGTTTCCTCTCTGCAACAAAGGTCAACTGTCAAAGTGTTATATATCCAAGAGTAAAAATACAATTCGAAATTACTTTAAACAGTGGGATGGACAATCATGAGGTTTAGATAGATACTTATTTACAGCGGACAATGAATCCTCCTCTCAATTTTATGAGCTAAAGGCATTCCCCTTCATGCTGCCCAGCCCAATGAGTTTAAGGTTAATGTCGAATTGGCTTGTAGCCAATTACTATTAAAAGTCTTATTACTCTCTCTCTCTCTTTCTCTCGAGGGAAAGTTATTTTTGGAAGTTCCAATCAGATTACGTAAAATGTTTGTTATTAAAATAACGCGTTTGTTAAATAACTGCAATTTTGGGCTGGACACTTTTCCATCATGCTCGTTAACATTCTTCAAACTCTCCATATGCAAATATATGCAAATAACAATCCTTTAAGCTGATAGTTGGGCGTGTTCTGAACTAATTAATTAATTTATGAATCGGAAAAAGTTGGTTGAGTTCTTATTGATTTATGGTAATACGGATTATCCAACCCTGTAGACGAAAGACAATTCCTGGCTGATTGAAGTGCGGAGATGGAGAGATGAAAAGTTCAAATTAAGACCAACTTTTTCGCATTGCTTGCTAATTTTTCATTTCTTAGCTCCTTTGTCTTCTCAATCATTCAAGTCTCCTCCTTCTGCTCGTGTAAGAATTTATAAAAGTATGGATTTCTGGTTTTGAGCCCACTTCATCTTCATTATTCAAACCACTTTAATAATGCTTGCGTCAATCGTACTACTGGATAAACACGTACTTGCATACGCCTAAATCGTGAGCTGTGTTATGTCTTAGCATCAATATTGACTATTTATAGTAATTCTTATAATTAGAAGCCTTTCTTGGTATTTCGTAAATATGCTAATTATGGTCATTTGTGAATTACAGGGACAGAATAATGCGAGTAAATTTGAGCAATATCAGCCACACGGATTGCAAGGTAAGAATTGAAGAAACTCAACCAATACCTTATTCGTTCTTATTATGTGATGTTCGAAATACGACAACGCGATTTCAGCTTGACACTAAAATTAAATTATATAGTCTTAAGACTGCTCTATACGTATCTATTTATGGATAACTGACAGTTTTAAGACTTAGGATTAGTTTTAGTCAGATATTTATATGTATGTATACTTATTACGTCACTTGCAAGTAGTGGTTGAATGAAAACTTTCAATAGAAATTATAGATTGTACAGACACATTTAATTCAAAAGCTTGACAATAGTTAACCTAAAATGGTTCCAATTCATCGTAATGGAAGGGTTCCAAAATTTCGTTTAACTTAATTTCACGGTGAGTTGTCACACGGCTATTAAATTGTACAAAAGACAATTAAGTACACGCGGAACTTATTTATATGGTAAACGTGGACTAAATAGGGAATGCTCAGTTCGACTAAAAATGCATTATATTTCCTTTTTCTCTCTCACAACCCCTCCGCAATTTTGTCTCCCTCAACCCTATTTTGTTATTTAGAATGTCAGAATAATAGTAAACTGAACGAGTTTCAATAATCTAAGGATGATGCTTAAAACCAATTAAACGATACAGCATTTTGGAGCATTCATTCGGTTTATAGAAATAACTTTTAATTTAATTACTTTGTGCAGTTGATATATTTTCTTATAAAAGTATAAAATGGCGTCGTTACAGCCATCAAATGGGGATGGAGGTTAGGGTTTCAAATAATAAATCAGAGATTCAAATTCTGAAAACAATCTGTGTTTAATTAAACCTATTTTCAAACAAGTGGCAATAATAATTCCATTCTAAGCGTTGTTCACGCTAACAAACTACCGTGTTTTCGGTATTCACGTGCAAGTGAATTTATACAATTTTAGGGGTAGGTAGCTATAGACCATGGAAAATTGAATCATTTTCAACTTTAGCCACTTTTCCTACAAGTTAATTATTATATTCTGAGCTGAATTTGCGTGTTTGTGCAATGGAGATCATGGTAAAATAAGTATCATTTATTTCAATGTCTCTTCCTTGTTTACAGAAAGATGCGCTGGTGATGAACCCCACGGGACCGTCAAGCTGTGTCTCGAAAGGGAAAAGCGAGGTAAATAATATTGGCTTTTAATATAGACCAACTCGACGAAAAATTACATTCGAAACCCATCGAAATCTTTTTTGTCTTTTGTCGGTCGAAAAATCCAGTAAAACAAGTAAAATATATATCCCTTTTTTACCCTTGTTCGGGAATAAATTCTGCGCGGAGGATACTTTTACATAGATGGAGAAAGTACTATGAGCCACTTTTAGTGCCTTCAGAATAGGCAAAATATTGGATTGCGACGAGTTAAGACGCTGCCAATTTGTGGAACCACTTTGAGAGAAATTGGCAATAAAGTTAAGGCATGGGAATACTTTTATTTATTGAAAGGAGACCCTCAACCCAACTCTCGAGAGTAAAGAATGATTCCGTACTACTCGACAAATGTGGAAAAACCTGAAAAGATAAAATACAATACTCTCAGTCAGAGTGGGTGGAAAACCAAAACTGTGGCGGTGATGCTTGTAGCAAAAATAACCAGACTTGTCTTGTTGGACCATAACTATGTCACACATCCTTTTTGCTCACTAACTTGAGCTGATTGAATCAAGCTCTTGCAGAGAATTTTACTTTATCGGTCATTGTATAAGTACATTGCATCGAAGACACAAGTATTTCACACCGACTCGGTCACATTTGTTTACATGATTCACGCAAAAAGGAGTTTTTAGCTGAAACTCAACGATATGTGTACATAACAGTTCATAGGAAACCACAATTTCCAGTGAAAAGTTTCACACAATAATGTTTTCAATCACCAAATTGTTTGCTGGGAAGTTGATACAAGTGAAAGTAAATAACTGCAATTAATTTGAAACACTCAACTCGCCACATTATTGCCAATACTTTGCGCAGAGTATCATTTGAATTAGTGTGACGAATTAGCGAAAGATTTATTGCTCACAAGACTGCGTGTACATACAGAATATAAGGTTTCGGGGTCTTGAAAAGTTCTCCAGCCGTTGAAAGAAAACCCCTGTACTAAATGATCCTCATGTATCGAATGTAACCGAATCGTTATTTATTCTCCTCCTTTTAAGAGTTTTATTGTGAGAAAAAAGCCAACTGATGTATTTTTCCGTCGCTTTGAACGATGGACATTTATCTCGAGTACAAATATCCATCAACGTTCTGGTGGGAAAGAAGCTCGTCCGACCAACTCTCGCAGTCTCTCGATACTCGCCATCTCCTTATCAAGGACGACAAGACGACTTTCCTTCAAAGCTGATACGGATTATGCATATACATATAATAAGATTTTAAATCTTTGAATTCCATCAACAGCAGACTGTCAAATAAATTTTCAGAAATGCCAGATGAACGTATGATTTAAAATAAAGTTTGGTATTGGGAAGCTGTCAATCTGCCCAGATTTAAGGCAAAGTAGATAAATGTCCCAATTTCTGAAAATGGGATTAAAAGATTCACAATTGTGGAAGTTGCGACTCAAAGATGAGGAGGCGTAAGAGAATGGCGTCAGTTTGTCTAGCATTTTGGAAAGAAAGTGGGCCAAGTGTCGTGTCTTGCTTTCGGAGCACACGTTGGAAACTCACAGCAGTCACAAAAGGCTGAAGGAACAGAAGAAATCAGGATCGAAAGTTCTAAATTCCTTGGCGTCTGCCAATCCATTTGGGAAAATGTATATGTTCCTCCACATACCTGATGGAGTTAAACGAATCAAGCAGTAAAGTAGGTTGCACAATGGAGTATTTGGAAAATGAGATGAGACAGGAAAATTCTGTCTGCTGCTGCTGGGTGAAAGCAGATTAACTCTCTTTTTACAAATGCATCGTTTGCTTTTCCTGCCTTCAGGTTTTGATTGACTTTTCCTTGTGACCAAGTGCGACTACATATTTTTTTGGTTTCTTGACGGAGCACACCCGTGTTAATGAAATTTTACTCTTTACTTTGTGTTTTGCTAAATGACCAAACCTTCATCATCGAAGAATCGAGAGAAAGTCAAATTTATGACATTCGATGCCCAGCCTAAATTGGATTTCTGAAATAAAGTGACGTGTATGGTATAGTACGTGTACGAAATCTCTCCATGTCTCGAACTTAGATAGGCATTAGCTTACTTGTGTAGGCGACTTTTACCGATTCATTCTGGGTCACACTGAGACAACGAGAAAAGCGACTGGTGTATTCAATGAGATTTCCATCTGCCTCCTTTCGATTTGTGGTTAGAAAGAGTACGTGATACTGCTACACATTGAGATAGACATGGCATTGTTACTGAAGGTTACTAGAGCACAAACTGCAGATTTCTGTGTAAAAATGTTCACGTTTTCTGCGTGTCCCAAGCGGAATTTTAGTTCAGACCATGAACTCACATCGTATTCCCTATTATGGAGAAACTCCTAAAAAGTCTGAATGTGCCCTGGGTCTCCTACTGCCACTATTCCAATTTAACTGCGTTCTACCTGCTCGTAAATTTATGTATGGGATGTATTCTCTGAGATTGGATTGAGCTGCTTCGTGTGCGGCGTCGAATGTGGGACCGAGAAAATTCAGTTGAGTTTGATGGGATGCTTGAATGAGGCCTAACTCTCTTGAACCTTGATTAAACGTTTAATGTTTTATGCGCTATATTTGTTTTATTTTTTAAAGGATTTTGACTGTCGGAATCATATCCGTGTGATCCAAGCTATGGGTGATGGAGATCGCCTCTACGTCTGGTAAGTTTGCCACTTTTTAGGTCTTTAATCTATGAAAATAGTTACAAACTTGTGACATCCCCATGAGCGACTGACAATGCGTATAATAATGATTTACTCTTTTTTTTCTTTTTGCAGTGGTACCAACGCACACAAGTAAGTGTTTGTTATTATATTGATTATTACAATTTGTCCTAAAATGTAATTCTAATAAATGTGAAATCTAACTTTTTTCAGCCCAAAGGACTGGGTCATCAACGTGAGTATTACATACATATACATACATGAATATAATGCATATTGTTTCTAAATATGTGTGTAACGCGTGTGTACATAAATATTGTTATTGGTCTCTTACTCTTTGTTTTCTTCTCTTCTTATACAAGCATTTCGTCATAAAGCAGACAGCCTTAAAGCCAAATTGTGTTTGTTCCGTTTATTCTTTTAAGTACTTGCATGGATCCTATATTATTATCGATTCGTACCGTGTGACAATTTTTTGAGATATTGTCCTTACCTGTATTCTTAAAAAGCTTTTGTATGTAAAGATTTTGACTTTCATGTGAATATTGCTGGTGGTGGTAAAAAATGGTAACGAAAATCGTGTTGTTTTTGTTTGCTTCTATCAAACTGGAATAGCTTTCGGCATTTCTGGAAACTGATGTAAGAACTGGTGCCTTCCCTTTCTATCCTCAATAAATAAATATATAGTCTATAAAAATGTAGATGTAGTTCGTCATTGTAGTTTAACTAAGGATAAGTACGTATTTATATATGTATGTAGATTTAATATAGTCCTGCAATCTCTAGTATTTAAATAAGTTAATCCGATTTGAAGGACCGAACATGAGATAAATTTTTCCCCATTTTAGTCTAACCTGACCCCTCTGCCTCGACAAACGTTCGTGCCAGGAATTGGAGAAGGTAAGTTGGGAAAGAGTTTTTGTATGTATTACTTTTAGAGATGCAAAAGTTGACAAGTGCGTCATAATTGTTTTTACCTGTACTTTTAGGGACAGCTCGATGCCCTTATGATCCGAGTGACAACTCCACTGCTGTCTGGGTGGAAAGTGGAAATCCTGACAATCTAAGTGGACTTTACAGGTAATGATTTGTTTGGGAAACGTGTGTCTGCTTTACACTTTGGTACTTTCGTAGTGTGGAACACATTGGTTATTAACATATTTATTAAACAACTTACAAATTACAAAGCAAACCCAGAATTTGACAGGTTTCGCTCTTCTTGTGCCAGCATGAATAACCCAGAGATTTGGTAGCTTGACAGAGACGAATTTATTATTTATGATTTAACAACGATGAACGGAGATTACAAACTTTATTCAGTTAATACAATTCGACCCTTGGAAGCACAAACTTCTTTCTCTGTGTATGCTAAGCCGTGTTTATACTTATTTTGGGCACTTTGATGTTATCTAAGAGTTGTTGTGTCAGTGCTCAGTCAACAAGCATGCTTTGTTTTACCTGTACTGAATGTAAAACGTCTCAAGTTACCTTTCTGAAATTCGGTTAAAGTAGAATTCATATTGCATACTCTGAAAACTTTAAGAAAAATACGCGTTCCACTTGGACTTACATGATTTGGTGGAGTACTCTTTCACCGCTAAATACTCTAAATACGGACTTTTTTGTATTGTTTTCAGTGGGACGAATGCAGAATTCACGAAAGCAGGTTGGTTAATTTTTTCCTGGATTTAATCTTAAATAATACTGACGTATTTTTTCCATTTATTTCAGACACCGTGATCTTTAGGACAGATCTATACAACTTGACAACAGGGGAGCGAAAGCATCCCTTTAAAAGAACACTGAAATATGATTCCAAATGGCTCGACAGTAAGCATACATACGTTTCTTTACTAACAAGTTGTTTTGTAAGTGGCTTACTGTTCTCTGAGTGATCCTGAATGGGTATTTTTAACAAGCTGACAAAAGATGTACCGAAGAAAATGAGGAAAATTGTTCTTCGTTTTAAAGATTTCAAAATTTCTGTAAACAGCCTCAGCTTTACATGTCGTTAATACTGCTCGGAATGTACAACATTGTAGTATTTTTTAGAAAAGTATATGTATCACATCGACAGCAGTGGCTTGTATTCATAACGGCTACGAGGTACCCTTTTACGTGGCCTTATAAAAACGTAGGAAATATTCTTCTGCTACTACATTAGCGTATTTTCATGTGAATATGAATATAGCTGAGTAAGGAAGATATTATTTTCATACGCATTCGTACTTCAAATTTGTGCTTGTTTGATTTTATGTTTACCTTCACATCCTTCAGACGATGAATAAGTCATTTCACTTTGTGAATGTATGTGTATGAACGAGTATTTGTCGTACAACACGAATAAATAAAATTCGGAAAATAGTTTTGAAAACAGCAAACTTTTTTTATATACCTCCACAAACTTGGTTCTCGACTTTGGTCTAGAACTATATCTAAAATTAGTTGAACAGAATTTTGTCCCATACAGATTATTATAAGTAGTGAAAAAATATATGATTGTGCTTGTTCGTTTGCAGAGCCAAGTTTTGTTGGAAGTTACGACATTGGGGAGTACGTGTACTTCTTCTTTCGGGAACCAGCCGTGGAATACATGAATTGTGGAAAAAATATTTACTCTCGAGTTGCTCGAGTTTGTAAAAAGGACACGGGAGGAAAAAACATTCTTGTACAAAACTGGGCAACGTATCTGAAAGCTCGGCTGAATTGCTCCATCCCTGGCGAAATTCCATTCTATTTTAACGAAATTCGTAAGTATTCGTGAAATATGTAATATACAAATCATGCCCAGACATGTCTATGTAACAGTAAATTTATATGGGATGAATGCTTTGCAAATTTCCAGAGGCAATATATCGAGTGCCAGGTTAGAAACCAATTTCTTGTTTAAGCAATTATTTATCCTTTGAATTATGCTTGTACGTTGAAAGTGAAACGCAAGTAAAACGCTTGTACGTTGTGTATCAGTGAACTGCAAGTGACAGAGTGTGACCAAATAAGCTAGGGTATCATGAAAGAAGGACGCTCACTCATATCGATGCTCCGGTTGCTTCGCGTCCTAAAAGGACGCTCACTCATATCGATGCTTCTGTTATTTGTAGAAACATTATTGGTTGAGGAGTGTCTACAAATACATGCTAAAAATGGAAACAAACTTTAAATAGTTTTATGAGATTTATTAATTATCGCATTGTACATTTATTTCTTATCTATGCAATTATCACCAGGGGACGATACTCGATTCTACGCAGTATTCACCACAACAGGGTCAGGATTCCACGGATCCGCTTTGTGCGTCTTTACCCTGGATGCAATTCAAGGTAAAATAACGTTTTCGTACATGTGTGTTAGATAATTGCCGCTAACATGAAAACAATATTCAAGAGGGTGTTATAATACGTATGTATTTATTATAATGTCTGGATTCAAGCTTCTCGTCTATCATATTGGCGGATTTTTTCTAGTCTTACAAAGTATTTTTATTCTTATCAACGTGTATGAAATTGAGTAGAATCGTTCTGCATAGTTTCACTTCATATGAAAATTTAAAAAAAATTATTTGGCGTGGTTTTGGTTTCTTGTAACAAACGAATAATGAATTATCTAGTTATCTATTTCTTCTTATTAATACAATTTGTGGGGTAATAAGAGATAAATTTTAAATTCTCATTGGACATTCAAGAATAAAAGTACATTAAGACTGAGGAGTAATAAGGGAGGAGGAATATTTGTGTATTGCTTATACATACTAACACCAATATAAAGCGGCGTTGGAGTTGCTTGTTGATTATATGAAATAAAACATATTACAGACGCTTTCAAGGGAAAGTTTAAGGAACAGGCCACATCCAGTTCCGCCTGGCTGCCTGTGCTGTCTTCAAAGGTTCCAGAACCAAGACCGGGTGAATGTGTGAATGATACTCAGACTCTTCCAGGTATAGGTTCACAATTTTTTTAAGCTGGGTGATCGTAATGCAAATGAACATCACTTAATCGTCGTATTTGTTATAGACACTGTGTTGAACTTTATCCGATCCCACCCTCTCATGGACGAAGCTGTGGCTCATGAAAATGGGAAACCAGCGTTTTACATGCAGGATCTCACTTTCACCCATTTAGTAGTGGATAAGATTCCGATTCCTCTTTCCAGACAAGTTGGAGACCATTACACAGTATATTTCGCAGGAACTCGTAAGAACACTAAATGATAATCGTTTCGTATCAATGATGATATTTTTGATTTACCACAGAACTATGCAATTTTCACTGTATTTTCAGATGAAGGGAAAATTTACAAAGTTGTACAATGGCGTGATTCTGAAGGAGAAAGTCGATCAGAGTAATTTTAAATTATAAATTAGTTTTAGTCCATTGTTATTATTATTTTAATTGTTATGATTATAATCAACCTCCATAGATTGATTGACATTTTGGAAGGCACATATCCCGAACCAGTGCGTGCGATGGACATTTCCTCTGTTGTAAGTCTGATTGCCGTCTTTACATAAAAATAAACTATGAATTGGGGACATAGTCTACTAATTATTCGTATCCGCAGTACAAGTCCATCTATGTGGGGTCAGATTACAGAGTGGTAAGTGTGGCGAACTCTTTGCCATTCGATTTGGCATGAGAAGGCAGCATTGTACGAATTATGTATATTTTTTATTCCAGAGACAAATAGGAGTGAATCCATGCAGAGCTCGATATGACTCGTGCGTTCGATGTGTACGAGATCCGTATTGCGGGTGGGATACCAAAGAAGGAATTTGCAAACCTTACTCTCTGGGGTACTATTCAAAGGTTTATAGCATTCACCCAACACCACTGCTCTGACGTGGTGACCCACTTTGGCATTTATTTATTTATTTATAATAATGCCGCACATTTATTAGCCCAAACTTACGTTCGCTTGCAATTTTCATAAATCTAACTGCTTCATGTCTGTTTCCAGACTTTTGCAAAACGTCGGAGGAAATGGAGCAATTTGCAGCAATTGTCGAAGGTAGGATCTCTCAATATTATTTATATATTTTTTATTAAAATTTGCAGAAATTAGTTTTACATGTATTATTTTACTTGTTCTAACTAGGTGCTCGCAAATGAAACGAGTGGTGGCTAATTGGGGCCAGAGGTAAGAATGTATTATGCTTTTTTCTTCATGATTTATGCAATTAATCAAGTCTAATTGTAACCATTTTCATTTTCCAGCTTACATTTACAATGTTCAGTTACCCTTCCGGGACATAGTTCCTCTTCTTTAGTTTCACAAGCGTACAAGTGGTATCATTACGCTACACCAAGTCAAAATAATCAACCCCAAGCTATTAAATACAGGTAAATTATGGATATATTTATGATTAGTTGGCGCTTCTAATCTAATCATTGTCAAAATAATACTAATTATAAAAATTGGGATATTTTTTTGTCAACAGCTCTGAGAAGCATGGTAAGGGAATTTTGTGTTACTTATTAGACTCATTTTTTACATTTATATTTATTTTAAAAAAAATTCAAATAATATTATGTTTTAATTGTAGTGCTTACCTCAGACAGAGGATTAGTCATCCTCTCTGTTAGCGAGACTGACGGGGGCCAATGGCAGTAAGATACATTTTTTTGGATAGCGAAAATGAATTGATTTGATTTATATAACAAGTAAACATGAAATTTTATTCGTGTGCTTTCAGACTCCGATTCGAAGAAAAAGACATTTCTTTAACGCAAACAAGGTAAACTGTGCAAATAAGAAACTTCATCAGAACCTGCTTAATTATTTTCTCATTTTACTTACAGGCCTTCGTTACTTCTTTGCGCTTTCAACGTTTCGAGTAAGTTATTGTCCATTCATATCCTTTCGTAAAACTCTTGGCACTTAATTATCATAGTCATATTTTGATTGTCGTTTGTCTTTACAACCTAACAGTTGAAATACAAAAGTGCTCTGCACCAGAAAAAGCATCAGACTTTCAGAAAGTTTATGCAGAATGGTGCCACGAGTTTCAAAAATACAAGGAAAGTATGGCAGTGTGGCAAAGGAGGCAAGAGGTAAGTATACACATGTTGTGACGCGTATAAAAATTGAGCCCTAATCGAAATCCTTCTTTTTACTTATCAGCAATGTGGGAAGAAAATTAGCAGTAGTGGTGACCTGAGTGCCAGCCAGCACAATCATCAGCAATTGACAAATGACATTTTCCAATCGAGTCATCCCTACGGCTGATCCGCATTTTAAGATTAGTCCTTATCAAATCGAGTATAATATTTAATAGCTATATGGCGTTTAAATCATTTAATCCTACTTAATTCTAAGATGAGTGTAAAGCTGGAGTGCCTATTTTTCAATCCGATATTGTCATATGCAAACCTTGTAGATATTTTATAGACGATCTTCATCGTGTATGTGTTCCGTTTAATTCAATGACGCATTACCCAATCTGCCTGTAATTTCATCCCGAAGCCACGTTAACTAAAAATAAGCTGCGAAAATAGTGATTCTAATTATTGGATAAATATATTTGACACGCTCTTTGAAGAACTGAGTTGAAATCGCATACGACTCAATGCATTTTAATCCTACATGTCATGATGGGGTTACTTATGTACATACATACATATGTACATATAGCCAGTTAGCCAACAAATTCCGCATTTGGTATTATACTTGACAAAACTGTACTTTAATAATTTTAGGATTTAAGATAAATTCTGTATACTTTTTAGCTATCAAATAATTGACTTTTAATGCAACTACTCATTTTGTATTTTTTTGTAAATTATATTATTATAGATGTACTATAGCTAAGTAAATACATAGTCCGCAGATTACTATTATTATCGTATGAAAGTGTGTATATGTATCAATCGTACAAATGTAACCGTGTGCGTGGGTCGTATTTAATAATAATAATATTATTATTATAGGTATGTACGTAGGATGTGATGATTATTGTTGAATTTATACTATTAATCGAACCCTTTAAGCGTGAAATAAATGTTCAATAATACACAGAACTATAAAGAATATTAATACTTTTTTTGCATATTTTGTATTATTTGCTAAAAACTAATACTTTCTCATGTGTGTACACAAATGCAATATAAATATAAATATAAAGTTTAATAATATATGCGCTAAAATTATAGGCTAAAACTGAAACACAGTTATACAAAAAAATTACGTGGTCTTATTTGAAAAGAAAAAGGAAATTATCAAAGTTGCCAAAGCCATCGGCAGTGAAATCAGATTTCTGTAGGCTCCATTGCATCTCATATCCCAATGTGTAAAGGTGACTTTCACTTGATTTGGGAACTGACATCCCTCAACTATATTGTAGAATGAAAATGGCATGATTAATACATGATCAGTAACCCCCAGGAAATTATGTCTATTACTTGAACAGTCCAGGCCAGTCTGACCACCAACAGGGTATTGTGTGGGCGTGAACGAGAAGTAAATTGGTTTACAGCCATTTCTGAAAAAAGAACAGTAATAAATTCAACAGTTGTTAATGTGATATACAAAATTTAATTTTTGATTAATCCATGAAATTTTGCCCATTTTGAGGACCCCGTTCATGTCAAAGTTATAACTCACCGGTTTCCGTGTTTTCCACATGGTTTTGAAAAATCAAATTCGACATCTACTTGAGAGTTTCCTGAGTTTGAGAATGCACATTTTAATGGTTTCAGTTTTAATTATAAATATTTTCTTAACGTGAGTCTAATCTACAAAATATGTGATTTGCAAGATTTTTAATGATGGCATGAATTTAAACGCTAAATAAATATCATAACCTCATTACGTATTTAATGTAGCTTGCATTCCGCTTCTTTTTAAGTAGTACCATTAACGTACCTGGTGTCACATACGTTCCGGAAGTTTCTTTGCATCCTCCAACATTTCTCGAGTTTGGAAACTACAGAAAAATATTGTAGTTAATTATCCAATCCAATTGAGACGTGCATACATACATACGTTTACTAGTTCATCCACAGATTAAATTAGAATACTCACCTGTTCATCCCTGTTTTGGCAAATTCTCACCTTCCCATTGTCTGTTGTAAACTAGATTTGGAAATTAATACAGGAAATAGATCATAAATTTGTATTTATCCCTGATGTCCACAATTTGGTAACTGATAATAAATGCATACTCTTATCCTAAGATTTTTGGCACTGTAAAAGTAATCCGGCGAAACTTTGTAGTATTGAATTGTGTCCGGTGAGACGAAAAATGTTTGTGCCACTTTATGCTCTTCATCTTGGTTATGCATATTGGTGTTACATTTCAAGTAGGAAAGACGCCCATGAGAAACCTCTGTTGTACAAATAATAATGACATTGGTTTAGTGGTGCAAGTAGAACTTAATATTTGCGTAATTACTAATCCTTACTGGTTTTCATTTCGGTAGCAAACTCATCAGCAAAGTCTGAAATATTTTGAGTGCTCTGTATCCTGATAAAATCTCGAGCTGGGTCTAAAGCAAATCCATCAAAATCCCCTTGCTGATATTTACTTGATGTAAACAGTATTTTTACATCTGGAAAATCACAAAAATTTAGTTTTAGTTCTCATGAGTAATTTAAAGCTGATAATGAAATTGGCTTTGTACCTCCAAAGTTGCCATTAATTTCATTAAGAAGCTGACGTATTCCTGATTTTTGTCCTTCCTCAAGCTTTTTCCCCTGCACCATAACTAACACAACTATTCCAAGATCTGACTCATAGTTCATGCGAATTTCTTCGTCTCGTAACTTTTGAAATTCAGTTTTCAAATTGGTAAACACTCTGATCAAGTCCATGGTTTTAATTTCTGTGTTAACGTTCAATAAGTTGTTGATATTAAAATAGTTTATTCTAAATATTATTTTAACTGATAATTAACTAATTGATGTGTCTACTTACGGGTTGGCAAGGCCAAAACATTACAAGCAAGAATGGCTCCGACGTCTGTAAGATTGGGACTGATGAGAATTTGACCACTACTTCCGTCGACGACCCCAAGTCGTGACCCTCTTGGGCTCACATTAATTTCATGAGCTAGTTGGCTGTCAAAGGATTTTTCATTACCAAAAATCCAGAAAATTTAGTAATCAAGATTGAGCACTCTGTTGAAGCTTACCCAATGAATCTTTTCTGTGCCAGGATTTCATCAAACGTGGCAGTGTGATCCAAAACAGCATAAATCCTATTTTTTGTTTCTGTATACTTTAAGTTGTCATCCGTGTCAAGAGTGCTGGAAGACGTACTTTGTGGTCTTTTGCACTGAGGATCACCACCACCGATTGACGCTGTAAAAGGGAAAATAATTTATATGCACAAAAAGTTTCAAGAATACCTTGCTAAAAAACTTACCAACCACTCCAGAAACTTTGTTGTAAACGTCGCTTACTGGACTTAAAAACACGTTTGGATTATCGTTGATCGTCTGCGCAGGAATACTTTGCGTATAATTATTGTACAAGTAGGCAAAAGACTTTGATTGTTCCTGAATCGCTCCAGGATCTACAGATCCACTGAAAAGAGACCCTCTATTGCAAGATCTAAACTGTGGCTCTCCAGAAATTCCTATTTAATACGTAAACAAATTAGGAGGGTGATGAGAAATGATGACGATTGTCAACGATCCTTTGTTAACTGTCAATTAAATGAATAGTTAATGTAAATAATACCTATTTCGCTGTAGTACATATCCAACACCTCACTCAACCGGAAACCAGCATTGTTCCATCGTTGAATATTTGAACCAAGGATTAGACCTTTTCACCAAATGATTTTTAGGAAATTACGAGGGTTTGTACAATCACCGTCATATAAGTAATTAAGTGTGCATATTGTGTAAAAATAATTACCATCCATTCCCCCACGAACTTCAGCTTCTGTCACGTAAGTCAACGCTGCGTCCTCCATGTAAATCTCTTTGTCGTTGTAAGGGTACTGCTCCAATATGTACTCTCTTGGACAAATCGTGTCGTTCCAGATTCCTCTGGGATTAAAATGTGAGAATAAAGTTTTTAGTGAATATCATCACTGTAGACCAAAGTATACTTGATACTAACCTTGGCAAAGGGACTTGAGTGATTGGCCATTTTCCATTTCGCTATAAAAATTTAGTGGAAATAATCTTAGAGAATAAATTATTCTTGCTCTAGCAGATTATAAAAGTTACACTAAATATGCTGCGATTCTAGATTTTAATAATATTGATGCACACCATTGCAGATTGTCCAATATCTCCTGCCAAGGTGGCTGCATGAATGCTTTGCAGAGGTTGAAACGTGATTGGATTATAAGCTTGACGACGTTTTCGTCCAAATTGCTGCTGTTGCGGATTGTTTGGTGGGTACGGATTGGATCCACTTCCGGTATTGAATGGGTTGTTATTGTTGTTGGTACCAGAGCCGAAAGGTGACCCACCACTTCCAAAACCACCACCTCCAGAGTTGGTTCCGAACCCTGGGCTTGGATACGGTGAACCACTTCCTACTGGAATGTTCATCGGTTCCAGTGCAGCAGCGATTCCTAACAAAAGAAATCGACCGTTGAGAACCAATCATTATGCTTAAATATGAACTTTAACCGTTATGGCTGTACGATATGCACGTATGAAAAAATGCGAACCTGAGATAAGTCTTCCAGCTGTGGAAAATATGAAAACAAATTAAATATAGCAAATAACCTCATAATCACCATAAAAATGAATATTGGTTTGTGCGGATTATTACGATAGTTCATATAGACTGCATGTAATACCGAAATGTAAACGGTTTAATAAAATTTCTTACCTGAAATTGATCCCCAATTTGTATAAACCACGCCGGTTTCAATTGGTCTTCTACTTTTAGTTGGATCAATCACTGACACTTGTCTTGAAAGCTTTTTAACGTCCGCATCATCGTCGCTGTCATCCTCAGTATTTGCTGCAGACTTTCCTTGAACGTCCTGACCCTGCTGTGGCAAATCAGTGTCCTGCTCATTGCTAACACTAGGTTCTTGCTGCACTTTTACTGAGGGGTTGGACTGTTCAGAATCTTCTTCTTGGCTGACTTTGTCTTCTTCGTTTTCTTTGTCCTCATGTTCGCTGCTGGTTTCATTATCATTGTCAGCAGATCTGCGCCCTCGCTGACCGCTGTACTGATTGTTTGCATTGTTGTTGTACCCCTGATTATTATTGTTGTTGTTGGTATTGTATCCGTTATTGTTGGTGGGGCTGTTGAAATTGTAGGGATAGATGCCAAGTTCCTCATCACGTACAGTTGCGTTCATGGAATGCGACAACATCCAATGTAAGGAACACTGTACGTATTAATATTTCATATTTTTAATATTCAATACGGTTGTTAGAAACATTTGTTACGGGAATTACCAGCTCATCGTTATCCAAAACGCCTTGCGGAATTACTTCTTCTCCTTGTAATGGGATCCAACCTTTAATCATTGCAGTTTTGATGGATTCCTGAGAGTTTGGATTGTACTGAAGCTCCGGCCTTGCGTTCGAAGTAAATTCGAGTCCGTCAAACATGTACCTATTTACCAAATAATTATTATGGGAGGCAAGTTTGACTTGTCTAATTTTCATCGGTGCATACAAAAAAAATGTAGAAAATTACCGATTAACTAAAATTCTGGCAATTCTTCTCATATCCAGTTGGGGTTCCTTGCGTTCAATTTTGCGAATAATTGCAATTAAGTTATTAATATGCATTGGCTGCCTGGTGTACCTGTTGTACGCCGTGCTATTTCTATAACACGATTGCACAGTTTCTGGAACGGTATTTCTTGCGCCATATTGAGCTCTTGTCGAAGGCAGAAATCCAACGCACCACACTGTCGAAATTTATCATGAAAAAATTTATGGTTTTGGTTGAAATTAGCTAGAGCACATTTTAAATTCTTACCTGTGCAAAATCCACAAAGGATTAATATTTTATTGTTCATTGTTTATGTTAAATTTTAAGCAAAATTTAAAACTGCGTAAAAAAGAGGAACAACTTGCAAAGGTGACGGCAAAATATGGAAACCAACGCCCAAACCTAAAATGTCGGTCGTCCTAAGACTTATCTGTACCGGATTGGGAGTGAACAAACAAGGTAATGGTGTCATTGATGAGTTACTCTATATGTATGTACAGTTTATCACCTCGGTCTGTACTAATTCAGATTCATCCTTATCAGTTTTATTTGCACTGCTCATGGAGTTTGATTACACATGCAAGTGTTTTTGCATGCAAAACAGTATTCATTCTTATTACTAAATAGGTGTACCAATATAAATGCACAAGTTTAATGTTTCATTGGTCAAATTTGTTGAATATCAAACCGGAGATGTTGTCATAAAACGATTGTCCTTATCTCGACGAGTCATACCTAACAGTGCTCAAGGATACACATACATAAGTACTTCGATAAGTTGTGGCTTATGCATGTTATTAAATACTCGCCAAAAAATAACGTATTTTGGTGACTTATATTTAATGTTCCAGGAGTTGGCACAAATTGAAATTGACGATTATAATAATCTAATCTTCTCCATCCACCCAGTAACCATTACTCATTTTTTTCAATTTTGAAGTATTATGATGATGTATCTACTTATCTATGTGTATGATCGTTGATACTTGCGTTTAGAGCGACATTTCCGTAACTGTCGTTGATCGGAAATGAAAATGATGTAAGAAAAGCATGATTCATGTGTTTATTCACAGTTATTTGCATGTATGAGATAGTTAAATGTTTTGACATATTCTCAACCAATTAGTCTGTTTAGTTTCCCATATATGCCTCAACGTATCTTTTCTCATTATGAATATTCGTCATCCTCGGTCATAATTGGATGACTCCGTGATATTGCAAATAATACGCTAAGCAATGATATCCCCAATATTGAATTCGTCATAATGTCCCACCAACGTTCTCCTTCCATCCAATCGTGTCCTTCCGCTTCTTGATGATGAGCATGAACCCAAAACATTTCTGTCGCCGTTTCAGTGCCTTGTTCTCCAATTTGGTTTAACGACCCACTGCTTAACTTGTGCATTTCTGAGTAAACTCTTCGAACGTCTTCGGGAGACATTTCTACTTTATATACATAAAATTCTTCGATGTTGGAGCAAGGAAAATTTGTGAAATTGATGCTTGGAATGGGTTGATCATTCTCTCGAGAATTTACAAATGGTGGACAGGCAATTTCGAAGCTCTTTAGGTTACGACAGTTTTCAAACATTTGCCAATCAAATGCATCTCGAGTTTCATTTTGAGAATTAAAATTACAAATTCCTTCCAACGCGATCTGCTCGAGATGTGGGTTTTTGACTATAAACTTTTGAATAAATCTCCAATGTATGCATCCAAAATTAATGAGAAGTATTTTCAACCGAGTCTGCTGTTCCAGTACATATTTCCATGAAGCCACTTGTGAAGCGGATGCATCTGGAATTTCGACTTGGAATAGAACCAGGCGTGTTGGAACTGGAAATGTCCTATTTCGCCTCGTTTTTGCTGTTGCATTGATTTGAATGTTGGGCTTTGTGTGGACAGTCTGAAGAATTTAAATTCTTGAAGATGTTGTTGACTTTGCAAAGCTTGTAGAACAATTTCCGAAATCTCATCAATTTCGTTCGAGTAGAGGAAGTGAAGTTCTGAAGGTGAAATAATTTTGAAATTATAATTCACATTTATGGTGAACACTTGATGCATCGAATATAATATTGGGGGAAGCCTAGTTTTCTGAGATTCACGCATGGCATCAAAATGTTTTGAAAACTGTTCAAGAAAATGGGCGATTTCTCAATCAACTCCAGTTCCAACTAATAATTAAGAGAGTCGGAATCAACGAAACCTCAAAAAATAAAGGAATAAAAAATTACCATAAGGGACGGGTTGATAAAGAAATCAAGATCAATGTCTGACGGCAGATCCGTTATAAGACAACTTTGTAAGCCGACCCTTTGCGAAAACTCGAATTGATCCTGGACTTTGTTGTTTATTCGCATTTTTACGCCAACCCAGTTTTCAACGTCAGCTTTGGTAAATTCTGACACTAACCTCAGTTTTAAAAGATCTTCATATTCCAAAAATTCCCATATTTTCTTTCTGGTCTGAAATCGTACCAATTCATTAAATTATAATGTATGGTCGACAATTTTATTACAGATAATTCCCATATTTCTTAAATGCATGCATATGCACTTATCTTCAATGTATAGGCATACCTCAGGAGGCAAGTCTGACAGGAGTGCTTCTTCGATTTTTGAGTTGACCACTCGCTCATCAACTCCATTCTTAATCAGTTGTTCTGATGACTCTGATCTAGAACGTCGACCTCGAACTAAATAAAACGCCGTTCCCCCAAATGCAGCAAGGGCAATGACTGAGAACAAAGAATTATGATGTTTGTGTAGCCTATCCCAAAAAAAATTTGTTAGGGTATTATTGTCTGCTAAATTTAAAGCCATTGAAAATTTAGACATTTACATATTTTTGTATATTTATTTTATTATTGAGTATAGGATCGTTTCATGAATTGGACTTCATGCATACAAAAGTTTGTATTTGCTTTACGTGGTTACCGACGTGAGATATGTAAGAATAATGCAAAATATTTAGCACAAATTATATTTAGAAATACATTTATTATGGCTGTTTCTTCAATTATAATGATTATAAGCATAGTGGATCATCATTTTTACTAAATATTTATATTATAGCGAATTATTATGCTTTCCCCAGCAGAAAGTTTTGCAGAGAAGACTCCATGTAAAATCAGTGTCGCAAAGATTAGTCTGGCAAACTTATTTTCATAATACATTTATTGGACGGGTTAAAGTTACTTTATCACTATCACATCTTGAGGAAGGCCAATTTCTAATGTAATAATAATAACACATCACCAACTGTTATCACCAAGCACATGTAGGTTTTAGTGGAATAATGTGTATTCACCGCAGATGACTTGAAATCAGGATTGATGCCATTTTTTTCGGCCATAACTGCCAGCATTTCGTCAGCTTCTAAGCGCTCTACCACAGAGTCCACAATTTCTCCTGCTAACGCGTCCACTCCATTTACCATCGATTGACCCTTGTGCTATGATAATAATTAGATTTGTAAATTTTAAGACAAAGTTGCACATGCATAATTAAGATTATAAGTAGTTTTCCAAGTGAAACTAACCGACAATCGGTGTCGTTTGTGTTGTTGTTGATGAAGAGGAGCAAACACAGGTTCTTGTACTGGTCTTTCGTCAAATTTATAACTCGACTGCATGTCATCCAAATGCATTGAATGGGACCCTCCTACAATCATGTCGGCTGCATACTCTTCAGACTTTTGTTGTGAATTTGCTTGTTCCACAGCTTGATGTTCTCCGAATTGTTGTACTGAATGTTGTTGTTGGACCTGTTCCACTAGTCTCTCTGTCTCGGGCGACTCCAAATCAGATTTTTTAGCTGCAGACCCTTTTTCTTTTTGTGGTTTTTGATCATACTGCGATTCTTGGTCATACGGGAATTCGTGGTCATACATTGATTCGTGGTCGTACGTTGAGTCTTGATCGTACATTGGGCCATCTCGGTCATACATTGGGCCACCTCGCGGAGGTCCTTTTCGGTAAGGACCCCGAGGGCCGTCCCCAGGTCCATGCCACTTTTTATTAAATGGTCCACGTCCAGGCTTTCCAAAATTATAGGGAGGTCCACCAGGTCCAGGTTTTCCCTTTGGACCAGGTCCGCTCTTTGGGCCAGGTCCACTCATCGGACCACCCGGTCCACGTCCACCCTTTTTATGCCCGGGTCCATGTTTTGGTCCATAATATTGACCCGTCACGTCCAAGACTAGCAAAATCATTAGCAGAAAAATGATTTTCATTATTGTTTCCCCTCTGTTCATGAAAAGGAAGACTTATTCTCGTAATAATGGATTGCGATTTGACAGCGTTAGAAGCACTCGAGGAACAATTTATGTTGAGTCTAAGCTATATGTTGCTAGACTTTAAATGCTGACGTTCCTATGATACCAAAAGTCAATAAATTCGTGCCATGTATTTTTTAGGAATAGTGCAACTCTCAACGTTCTCGGTCTCAATAGTAGATATTAACTTCAATCATATAATGCATGTTTTGCACTGGCGACTAAAAATTTATAATTGCCGTAAATTCCGCGCAGACAGTACAGTGAAAATATGAACATGGTTAAATCATGATGTGGAAATTATATATAAGAATGCATATGAAATTATATATAGGAATTAATCTTAATAAACAAATGCACAAGAAAGTATTTCGCAATTGTATTTATATTCATTACTGCTTCATTTATTTACTGTGTCTTGTGTAGTACAAACAAGTGAATATGTATCAGTACAATTTTTTTTTATCTCGCCATGCATTAACAAAAAGCAAGCCAGGTTGTGATCAGTAACCCTTTGATAAGCGCTGGATTAAGGCCCATAGTGGGATTGAAGGATTTTACATCAGTTTTATCAAAGACAACATACTCTACGTTGTCCCCTTCCTCTCCGTCATTTGTCTCAAAAGATTCAGAATAGTTCAAATTGAATCCCAATTTCATCTCCTCAACTTCCTTCTGATCGATCATTGATTGCGATATTCGAATCAAAATCTTTGAATTGCATTTCAGGTCTGAGAATTCGTTCTTTGTTAGGTATACCTTCCCCATACAACATGTACGCAATTTTTGCAATGATGTTAATCTAGTGGTTCTGATGATCGAGATGTAAGGAAATCCACCAATGTTAGTGTTGACAAAAGAATTCTCTCCACCAATCGAAAAAAATTTAAGGTTTTCGCATCCTTCCAGGGTTTTGCAGTCAAATGGTTCATCCACTGTACATTTCAAGCTCAACAAATACAGTCCAGTCAATGTTTTTAGATTTTGTCGGATGACATCAAAATAACAATTCCAATTGATGCCAACAAGTTCAGTTTTCAATTCATAAAGATTTCGTTGCTCTCCCAGATATGCCAAAACGTCGCCTTGAAGTTGCATTGGATGACTGGACATTTCCACATGAACATAGCCGACCTTGCAAGCTGCAATTTTCGGGGATGGATAAAATTCCAGTTTCCACTCCACATCAGTAGTTATGTTGTTGTATTTCAAGTCGATACCAAATATATTATTTTTCTGAAGCAGCATGTTCATAAATAGCATAGAATCTGTTGGCACCACCAGTTGCATTTTGTTATCCCTGTACTCATGAAGCTGATTTTGATTGAAGAATGAAACGGTCCAAAGACAAGGGAATTTCCTGAGTATGAGATCCAACTCTCCTGCAGTAAGTTTGACAGTATGGTGGAAGCGAAGATATTTCAACTTATTAGGGCTTGGAAGAAAGTTAAAGTGCAGCAAATTATCTAATCGAGTTACAAAACAACTACGCGTCGTTATATTTTGCATTAAATAAATTGAATCGTTTTCTGTGTTCAATACGATAGGCAGCCCAAATTCATGATCAATTTCTGTTCTCATTTGTTGACTAACAGACCTCAGATTCAGAATGTCCTGGGGTGAAAATTACAAGAAAGTAAAATTACTACTATTTCTTTGCAAATATAAATGAATATGAAAAATGAAACCTTGTTATCCAGTCGAGACCAAATTGAATGACGAATCTGGGATTTAATATTAAGTTTAGCATTTCCCATTGAACACTCATAGCCCTTACAATACAAAGTATCTAAAATATTAACAATAATTTCGAACCTTTGCTGGAAGCATTAGAATTTTAATTTTGCAGGTAGGCATCTTTTCATCCTTGGACCACTCTCCTATTCACACAAAGGAAACTATTTATGGCATCACGCGTAAATATACGTATTATCTATAATGTGTAATGTATCATATATTACATATATACAAGAATAGCACATATGTATCTATATCTAGAATTATGTTCATACCACAATCTCCAGCAGCTCCAATTTTTTGACTGCCATGACCTAGACCCCATTTTAGAAGTCGTTTTCCAGTCGTCTCCAGTCTTTTCAGACTTTGGGTCATTTGTTCTGGATCGCTAATGTGATCTTGAAGAACTTGTTCCACCAAGTGCGAAGCCTGACTTACGACATTGTGGAAAGATGAGGAGGGCTCCATTTTTTACGAAATAATAGGTTTGTTATCAATCTATTTTAGAATCCACCACTTGGTCTTTCTGCACTGAAAGTACTTAAATATGTTTGCTAAGGTTACAGCTAACTAGGTAATTCCGTATGAATAGATAAGTAAGTTGTGAGCAAATAAAGAAATTTTAATTAGACTCGAGATTTATGATGAGGACTATGAGGAGCACTATTGCTCAGAGTCTGCAGCGTAATTTGGAGGTTTTCAATCTTCCATTCGCCTCAATCATTAAATTATACAAACTCTAGTACAATAAGATTATGCATTTTTTTCACTAATCCTAAACTAAATATGAAGGGGCCAGCCAACAAGTACATGGGTAAATCATTTCATATAAACAAATATCGGGTCCTACACATCTCAATTTCTTAAATCATGCTAATGGTTTTTGACCTACGTCTACAAGTTGATAAGATAAATAAAAAAACTTTATTTAAAAGTACATATTCCACTGCATCAAAAATAATGCATATTGGTTATCCTCCAAAAGCTTGGTGATGAGACAATGGTGTTTATGTCTATTGTCCGTTATTTCGTTTTGCAATACACTTTCACATTCGATCCGGAGGTGATAACGAATTTATGAACCTACTATAATTTAAAATTTCCCTATATCATACTTACATGCATATTTTGTAATAAGTAGTTAGTCAAGTTTAATGAGATCTCTTGTAGATAATCATCACGAGACATTGATGATAAGTTTCTTAAAATCGTACATAGATTAAGTGAGTAATCATTATTTCTATTTTTAAATTAGTCGTCCACCACAAGTGACATGAACACTACTATTGACAAGTTATTTTCATATGCAGGTAAAAATAATATTTACTTGAATGCGACATCTTTAATAATTAGTTTTGATTATTCATCTAAATATGTGCAACAGATATATTTTTGAAGACGCTCCTTTTGTTTCCAATGATAACGTTGGGCCAGCCCATGATATCATTGCATCAAGATAATAAAACCTACTACGTGGCTGGGGCAGTGAGACGAGATCTCCCGGATCCCTTGTTCTACAACACGTATATTCCTGTAATTTACGAAATCGATGTACCCGAATGGACCACATCAAATTTAAATATCAAGTGGCCAGCCAACTTTTCTACCCTTTGCAGTGAACAAGACGCATTTGGTGAAAATTGGGATAGTATGGCGTGCCCTGTTGTTCACTACATGGTTAGTTGGTGCAAATAATAGGATTATGTTCTAGTAAGTATATATGTACAGTGGAAAAATGCTAATTTGAAAAAATCATACTCCACAGTACTCTGTGGCTGAACAATTTCTCGCCACCATTCTGGACTTAATTCAACCTCAAAATCAGCAAACATTGACGAGAGAATCGATTGCAATGAAATCCGACCACATTTCACCTCGTACACATTGGGAATGGAAGAAACAACAGATTATGTGCATGAACGATTAGCGAATTGTCCGCTGGGACAAGTGGTTTACGAGAAACTAAACCACGAGGCAATTAATTTCCAGATGAATGATACACTCTATGAAATTATGCTATCCAAATTCATTGAGGAATACGTAGCATTAAATAAGAACAGGGTGACGGGGTTCAATAGGTTTTCGGCTGCAACGAATGCTTATAGCTCATTGCAAACTCTCCAATTTCTGGAACATATCTACATTTCGTCAAAGTGGTCGAAAGCGATTTCGACTTGTGGAGACGGAATGATTCCTTACTCTCTAATTTCACAGGACTCTCTGGCAGCAACATTGAAAGAAGTTGAACAAACATTGAAAATGAAAGAAAACAAAAAATACGAATTAACTATAGCTGCCGACGATTTGTCCATGTATTACAAGGCTCCAATAGCTGATTGTGTCTTCACGTCGAAGGCTTATTTAGTTAGAATTTTAGTTCCGTTAAAGAAGGCTGAATTTGAATACAAACTGTCAGTGATGATTCCGATACCTTTTTTACGGCATTATGGAACAGTAGCAGATATTTGTCAATACGAACATCCTACCACACAAATCCTTATTGAGAAACATACAAGTTTTGCAATTCCAAGTAGTTGCGAATCTGGAGAATTATGTCTTGTACCAGATCTTGCTAACCGCCCCAGGATAGAATATTGTCTTCATGCTTTGATAAGAAATTCTACTCAAGATATTATAGATTTCTGTGAAATTCAATGTCAATATTTAGGTTTGAATCACCTGCCATATTTTAGACGTTTGACTTCTGACAAATATGCAATCTTGGGCCAGTCAAAAATGGACGTGTTTGTTAATTGTGATACTCAACCTTATAAAGTAATTAGCCCTCCCTCGTCGACTGGAGCGCTCGAAGTAACACTCCCGTGTTCTTGTCAACTGGTCCATGATCGAGAAGTGATGCATTCAACAGTGCCATGCAGCAATACTGAGCTAATATTAAAAGAAATATCGCCATTATCATGGTCTCCAAAAGGATTCCCTGCGACTCCTAACAATTCATCCTTTCCACTGTTAACCAGTCCATCAGCAACCTACAACAGCGTTATAGCTGACAAGAACAATTCGGAAGGGTTGGACCCTGATGGTTCTTTGCGAGCAAAAATCTACATTCTTTCGGCTGTCGTCTTAACATTGTTCTGCTTCAATGGATTATTAATGATAATTATCAACAGACTTAGCAAGAGAATCATGAAATTAGAAAAATCTGATGGGCAGACACGTGGGAATTTCTTTGAAAATCCTTTACAACTGCATGTGCGTCAAGTGCGACAAAATGACGACTAAAAGGTTTATATTTATCCTCATGTAGAGGCAGAGTCAATTAGTGCATAATCATGGTATATTTATGTATAAAGGCATGTGTGAAATTATAAAATTTTACATAGCTCGTGAATTTTGTGTGAGAAGCATGTAGCAGAATTTTATTAGTAAGATGAGAAGAAAAGTGAATAAGTTAATATGCATACAGTTGAAAGTACCCAAGAAAAGAGATTACAAATATGCGTTTTTGAAAATAAAAAAGATGTTAAAACCATCTCCTGAAATTATATGGAATCAACTGGTTTTATTTTTGTTCTTTGGGGAATTCCTAGTCTTTTCCCTGTTTCTGTCCAAGTTCCAAATGGAAAGTCCATAAAAAGCTGTTTGCAATCCATATCATCGATCTGCAAAGTTCAAGCCAACCAACTTCTCTTTTGCCATTTAAATATATAATGCCGATGACTTTGCTCAAACTATGCTTGCTCAGTGCCGGACAATATATGTTTGTAGTCGATTTCTCACAATAAGAACCATGTACCTTCTACTGCCCCTCGTGTATTGTTGCTTTAATTATTTCGCTCGATTATGTGGCAATTTTTTGCTACATAAATTACGAAACATTGCTCGCACCAGTGACTCGCAGGCGACGAGACAATGCTAGCAATAACTGCATACACACATACAAACGTACTTTTTTTAGTATGTAGCTAGTGTTTATTAGGTGTTGGAATTGTTGGCACAAGCTCAGAGACTACGATTTATCGTAAAATCATCTTGGTTGATATAAACATTTATTATGATAGGAAAGTTTTCGCTATTTAAAGTGTTGTTTCAAAAAATAAAAAGATTTGAATAGCTGCAAGAATGCATTGATTAGGTTACTGTTAGATTACTGCAAGGCAAGTACAAAGTCGAATTCAACAGTGTTTCAGGGACTGCTCAATTATGGTTCAGTTGTTTGGTGTTCCTCAACTTCGAATTGATCCCCAGATCATGTCCACCATGGAAAGCGACTATTGGGAGGAATTCACTCGAGTGAATGATGCTTTTCTGCATGAACCTGATATTGCAATACGAAAATCTAAGACCGCAGCTAATTCTTCTGACAGAAGAAAAATACAACTTCAATCGGGCGAGGTGGATAAAACAACGGAAGTTCATGAATTGGCGACCAGAACAGCTAAAGTTTACCCACATTTGCCTTCGGGAAACGGAGTACGCTCAGGTTTTGAAAACAACTTTGTGTCCCAACATGAAGATGAGGAGTATGTTGAATTCCGTTCTGTCGCCGTTCAAACGGATGGAAATTACGACGAAGAACCCGAGGTAACTTAAGCACAAATACTTACACATTTTGCCATCTCAATAAAATATATCATTTTAATTGATATCAGTTGCCCTACAAATGTTGTCTATGCTTTCGGTCATCGACTCCATGCGTTGTGTGGATATTTGTGGGAATTTCCATCCTCTTTTTCAAAATGGGAGCAATTGTGACTGGACGGTGGATTTATTTGTCAAGTTCCACATTTGATGAAGTTGTGTTCTACATTGCATTTACCGTCTGCTTAGGTGATAAAAATACAACAAAGTCTACAGTGTAGAGTGTAATAACAATTATTTCCAATTTTAGGCTTTTCAACAATATATTTTCGACGCGGTACCAAGTACCATAATCCTTTTGACCTAATATTTTTGATGTTGACCATTCCAATTATGTGGGCTTTGCTCACGTTTACCACCACATTTTTGAAAAAAGACATTTTCTTTGTGAGTATTTTTCATTTTTTTAAAGACATGAGGGTGTTGATCTGCACAAAAAAGTCATTAAATATTTTTCTTGTCTCTTCTTGCCTCCAGTATGTTGGGTCGGCAGTTTATTCCGTCTTTGTCATTCCTTACATTATTCTGGGGTCCTACATGGCGTACAGGTTCTGGAAGCAAGGAAAGCTGTTTTTGAGGAGGGTTGAAGGCAACAGACAACTGGAGACTTCTTGCAAAAGACTATTTTTTACCCAAAGCTTGATCATGTTTGACACCCAACTGACGATTTGTGCCTGCATTATGTCAATGGCCCCCACAATTAATCAGGACAACACCGTGGTTTGGGTCTCCTCATTGGTTGTAGCCCCAATTGGGATAAGTTGTGCAGTCCTATCCTTAATTATTGGGTACTTTGCGGTAAGCCCTTAATACATCATAATTTTGTGATTTGATACAGTTCGGAGCAAACTTACACGTATTAATTCACAGATAAGAAAAGAAAATCGGATGTTAACTTGGATATTCACAATTTTAAGTACAAATCAGTTTCTGTTAGTAGTTTCAATGCTACTCAAGGTAATTGGTTTTAGTTTGCACACTGTTGTTAACAACTTGTTAAGTAGGTAAAAATAGTGACATGACGATACATTTTTTTATATAGAGACCAATGACTCCGGGGATATACTACGCATTTATCAATACTGCGATTTTGTTTTCATCCGTAATGCTGATTACATGCCACATTGCTATGTTGGCAGTTGTATGGAATTGGATAGTCCCTGCATATGGGAAAGGCCTGAAGGGTCCAAGTATGTCAATAAATTATAACAACTATTCATTTTTATATATTTAGTACTGAGGATGAGTGGCTTATTACCTTTTTTGATTTTTAGTCAATCGGACGAGTCGCAACAACTGCATTCAGTGCGCAAAGCTAACAATTTGTAGGTAATCTTTAACGAAAAGACTGATACACTTTTATTGAAATCTTGAATCTCTGTACCTTATAATTATTTAAAATAAATTTATTAACGCACACACACAAGTATGTTTGCACATAGATACATCATAGTATATAGAGAAATGTTTCTTTAATTGAATACAGATTAATATGAAATTCAGTGACCATGCAGCTTACTGTTATTTATTGTTGATGAAAATAAGTTTACAAACCTGTATCATAATCCCGATTGGTATGCATGTCGGAGTGGAGAATATTTCACCTGTAAAAGAGAGTGCATTTTGTTTGAAACAATGATGTAAATCAATCAACAAAATTACTTCAAACAGGTGGTCAATTCTCGAAAACGATATCAAGTTAGTTGACGTCATCGCATCATAATGCATCATCTAACTCAAACATCTACATATAATATGCAAATTATACATACACAGCATATTCTAGCTAATGTCTAATCGTAAGCATACACAATTTTGCAAAAATATCTCTCAAACTTTTTTCATTGAGAGTGGTTGTCCAACTCAATACTAGAATTGTCAGATGAATCTATTCATAACATGCAGAAACAAAAAAAATCCTAGGCAAGTAACAAATCTGTAACCATTCCAGTAGTTTCGTACATCCGAAAAAATTTTTCCGCGTCTTCATCTTCATCCACTTCCACTTCTTGCTGAAGAATTAAGGTCACTTCCTTATCGCCAGCCAATAATTTTTTCCCATACTCTGGTAGAGGAAAACAACAACTTAATAATGATAACGTTGGAAAATAAAATGGGCAGAATACAAAATATATAATTTCAACTTACCCGACAGACGAAACGTCCTTGTGACAATTGTTGAAGGATCGTTCTTATCCAGTGTTGTGTCCATACTTACAAATTGAAGATTCATACAATGGACAATTCCGTGCTTGATGCAAGCTTCAGTTAATCTGCCAGTCGAGGAAAGTTGGTAAGATTAAGCGAAATGGAGCAATATTTAGACAGGGTAATTTTACCTGTACGCTTCCAATTTTAGCTCTCGTAATTCTGATGGAATTTGTATAGAATAGATCATAAAATCATAGTCCATCAGTACACATACATATGTCCCTGTGCCAAATATTTATACGAATGTCATGTAATTCTCACTTGGGAGATCACCAACAAATGAAAAGCATCGTAAGGCGACCCCTTTTTCCATTGGGCAATTGATTAAATTATTTTCTTTCGCTATTTCAGCAGGTATTCCAGTAATCCCTTCATCCGTTAAGTCATCTCCACGTAATCTCAAGTATGTTAGGTTCAGCATCTTTTTAAAAATCATTCTGCAAATCTCATCGCTAGCATGATTCAGGCACAGGGATCTCAAGTTAGGAAAAATTCTAGACAATCGACTCATTGCTCCAGCAACTTGATGGATGCAGAAATCTAGCCTGAGTTTGCAGACCGTGGGGTAGTTTCGGACAATTTGTGAAGCTGGTAAGATCTCAAACAAATCCACTTGCGAAAGTTCGATACTGCTCAGATTCGGAAGTTTATTAAGCAACCCTACCAATGAGCCTTGAAATCCGCTGAGAGATAAGTATTGCAGAGTTTTTATTGGAAATTGAAATTTGAATTCATAAGCCACCTCTCTTCGCCATGGGAAATCCAATCCAAGCTTTTCTAACGTGGGGGACAGCTGCGATAGTAAATCTGTCAAGGATTTGGCTGTCACACACAACTCTTCATCGTCTGGGTACCACATATTGATATATAAATTCTTGAGTGGGTAGTTTTTGCGCATGAGGGTGCGAATGTTGTCGTTATTCAACTTTATAATAAAATTCAGGTAAGCCAACGAACTAGTCAAGCTCTCCTCCAGAACAAGTTCGGTGAGATAAATGTTCATTTGCGACGTGATTCTACATTTTGTTGGGGGGACGCAAAACATGGGATGGTGAATTTTTGCCAAGTGTGGTGCAGCTTTAGCAATGGAGCATATGAGATTGGTTGTACTGTTCCAACAATCGTCGTAACTTTGCACTTCAATGTTTATGCAACGCAGCGACAATAAAGGTGTAATTTCTGCTACGCAATTTTCCTCTTCTAATTCTGGGCATTTAAAGTAATGAAATCGAATCCCCAACCACTCCAAGTTTGGGACAAGACGAAGTACATGCATCAAATCTTTAAAACTGAGAAAATCTCCACCAATAGTCAAAGAAAGTGAGCGAATGTGTTCATGAAAGTTAAAATTTTCAAAAAAGTTTTTAACTTCTTGTGAGTCTCTCATGTCTGCAATTTTATAGTGAAAATTGAACGACGTATGTGGGTGAACAATGGATTGGTTAAAAATGGCTTGGTAGGACTTCAAATCAATTGATGAATAAAATTTTATAATGTTTTGCTTTGAGATTGCAATACAAGCTGCATGATTCCAGTCCAGGTTAACAAGTCTTAATAATTTCAAGTCTAATAGTGAAAAGTTGCAAAAAATGTTGTCCAAAATCTAACACAAAAAATCATGTTTTTCATGTACACAAATTAAACAAATAAGTACGTGAGGAAATCTTACGCACATTTGGAAGTAAAAGTGGATGAGCCATAGTTGTATTTAGATTTGGATTTAAACAGGAAATATTGAATACACTCCTTCTGGATCGTTGGCAATCAACAAACTGGATTTCTAATAAACATTGATTTTTGACTAACCTACCAAAACCTTTAGCATCGTATCTGTCAAGTTGCAGTTACAGATGCAGATACATATGTACATGTTTTGTAGCCATGTTTTGTAGCCATTCACGATGGCCCCAATCAGGACATAACATGTTTCTAAAATTAGATCACCAAAGGCATCTTTCCTATCTCGCACGGTAAACGTAAACACGATGACTAATACTTATGTATAACGCACAAATCTTTTCGAACTTTTGTATATTTTCCTCTTACAAAATTTGCCGTTCGTGCAAACTAAAATGATGTAAAAATTAAAACTTGAATACAAGTCAAATTTATTTTTTTCAACATCTGAAAAGGAAGAATTTGACAAAGGTACAGACGCAGTATTCAAATGCACATGACATAAAGTATTTGTAATTTAAACGACACCAAATATAGTTACCAAAATGTTTTTCTCAGGTCCCGGAAGTGTATGACATATGTATGAAAAAATAAACGCTAACTCAGGTCTTCTTCTTGCTCCAAGTCGTTGTAAATTTCTTTTGCAATAAAATCTCTTTGGCTGTCATTGCGATCTTTTCTTCTTTTATCAATTCTGTCACGAGCACGTGCTTCCAATTTTTCTCCAACTCTTTGAATAATTCTCACGCCGTTGGGGTCATCGCCAATAAAATGTGTTTCAATTTGCCTAAATAAATCATCAAAAACGGTATTTTGTCGTTTTTTATAATCCTTGGCTTTCCTCAGTCTTTTAATGGAATCTATAATCTCAATGTCTATGATAAAGTCTTCAAATTCTTCGGTATCCATAAATATTTTAACTATTTCATTGATTCGTTCTTCGTCATCATCATTATGATCATGAATTTCTTCAGCAATCACATTTTTGGTTTGCAGACCGAAATCTTGGACACCTTTAAGTATAAACATGACAGTTATAAAAATGTTTCCAGAAAAGTTTTTTAAGCAAAAAAAACTTACGACTGGAATTCGTTGTGTTGATGAGTGCAGGAATATTGGGCGTAATCAGACCGTCGTAGGAGGAATCTGCAACTATAGCATCATCCGATGGGATGACGATCTTTAACTCCAAATCTGATGGCATTGACACAGCTAAACATATCGACAAAATTCCGAGTAGCACCACTCCGAACATCAAAAGTTGATTACGCCTTAGTGCAATCTGTCCAGAAACATAATTCTTCTAAACCGTGTCGTGTATAGCGTAATGATAATAGCATTTCAATAATCACCTCTTCGTCTCCTAACTCTATTCTTCCATCGTCATTCTCATTTCGCACATTGTTATCATTATCCATTTCCAGTGTCTACCAGTTCGAGTATCGTACTTGTAACCTACATATGTGCCTATTTAAATAATTAAATATGTAGATATGAGTACGTATGTAAATATGTATAACCTCACAAATTGTGTTTGGATGATAGGATTATGATTGAATGTAAAGAGCACACTTACGTTCTTCAAAAAAGTCCAAACACGGCTTACACGTATAGCGTTGACCAATGTGAGAATATTTAATTTGATGGCACCGTAATATTTTTAGAACCGTAACAGAAAAATATAAGAATTTCTTATGTACTTTTGCTTAAGAGACCTATTTCTAATAAAGGCTGGAAGATTGTTCATCCCGCTGAATCATCCTATTCCGCTTTGACTCGGAAATATCCGAAACCCGGATTCAGGTTTCAAAATTATCGGGATATTTTTCAGTTTTTCTCGTATAGCGATGTCACTGCAGGAATACGTAGCACCTTTACTGGCACAGAAAAACTTTTTCCTCCCTGAATCTCCAAAACAAAATTAAATATGTAGCATATCTTTGTAGAAATCAAGAAAATGGAAATGAACTTGGCCATAATAAGTAGATGGAAATATTAGACTTTTAAATGTTTTGATGTCAAACCACTAACCAGATGCAAGTGATAACCTCTTGGCTTCCTCTGTGGAGGAATAGTAGAGCAGAATCGCTTTCAGAAATTCAGAACACATATTGACAAATTTTTCGTATGTAGAATGCGTGAAGCTGTCACTTTTTATTGTATTTAAGTTTACTAAATTGTAAATCGGTTGGGTTACAAATCTCACAAAAGAATGTACGTTATGAATACATTTTATTTTCCGTAGTCTTTATAAAATTGCGCATATTGAACATTCTCAATATGTATTTTTATAACAATTCTAAAAAATGTTAATAGAAAGCATGTACTGGACAAGGCTTCTGAACACAACAAGAGGAATTCTCCTTCTACGGTTGACAGTTTCTGTTTTTTTAAGTTATAGAAAACGATAAACTATCGTGTTACGTTGATTACCATATAAGAACTATACAGTGATAGATACAGTAATTGTATTTGCAAGTATTGAGTACATGGTAACATGGTCTTCTCACTTAACGGCGGCCGTTTCCTTTATCAGCGGTTTATCCACAAAATAAACCTATTTTCACAATACTTCTTATTTCGGGGAGAATTTATATATTTTTGAATATGCAAACTAGTATAACATTACAGAGCTACAGATAATAGGGATGTGTAATTAATCAGTCCATAATGCGAGTAGGATAATATGGCCCTTCGGCTTGTGGAGAAATGTCTGCTCCCAAAAAAAAAGAAAACCAAAATGTAATAATGAAAGTCTTGTTTGTACCAACGGCTTATTTACATGTTAACCACGAACAATTTTGTATTATTACCAACTAAAGATTTCAGTCAAATGAGCGGACAATTCAGTCATGAGAATCTGTTACATGTTACAAATAAGTTACAAATAGTATAAATATAAGTTACGGTTTGATGGAGCAAGCATTAAAAAACATTTTAATATGAAGCTATGTATGTATTTATGTATATTGCATCCTATGAATTAATCACTAAAGATTCATATTTCATCACACAAGTTAGGACTATAATAAAATAACTTCAATACCTACGACCGCCACTGAATATGTACTACAAGACTTGATGACATCGCGACGACGGCATTGCATATTTATACAGTTCACATAGAATTCTAATTTCGACTAAGATAGCTTCTTTTCAATCAATGATATATTTGTATCAAAAGCTACATTGTCACTTTATAGGCTGTTTTAAGTAGAAATTCACTGAAAGGGTGGCTATATTACCAGCAGGAGGTGACATATAAATATGTGTAGATGGTTTAGAAGGAGTAAGGAAAGTTAATCATTACACATCATTGATTCACACACTCGCCACCTCACTACCACTTCCTCGATAAGATCGTAATGATGAAATTGAAGAAGAGTGTCAAGTCGGTTTCTGCGATGGGAACGGAGGAATCACAGGAGGTGCTGGTGGAGTTGTAAGCACTGCAAGTGCAATATAGACAGACACGTTATAAGTATGTGTGTGTGACACTTTTGTGGATGTGATTTTTTGATCCTTGGTGGACACATTCATCTTCCACTCTTACCTCCGTAATGGGGGGAGTGTGGGGCAGGAAACGCCTGCAAAATCGGATATCCGATCCCAACGTGATTGGTGATATGGTGATGGGTAATTGTGCCTGTTAAATGTAAAATAAGTTTATGTATGAAATTTTTTACATTAATTTCGCGCGGTTTTTATATTACCAACGTGTGTATGATGGTGATGTTGCGTTGGTGGCGAATGACTACTTTCATTTATGAGCCCTCCAGGTGGAAGACCTCCTCCGAGTTTGGACTCTTTTGACAGATCAGACACCTTTGACGATGATGACATGTTTGGAGATCCAGCGGAATTAACACCACTTCCAATGTTTCTGGAGCCTTGACCACCACCACCTGAACCACTCAGGCCGCCTGCTGCAGGAGATGTAGGTGTATTTGACGGTATAACCCCGTGAGGTGGGACATCACTTCTTGGATTGGGTGATTTGAGGGCACGCTCCGACAACTCTACAATAAAGAAAAAGAGAAGATATTTTCAAGATAAGCAGGAACGGCAAAGATTGGAAGATTGACAACGTTTAATTTAAACTAACCGTGAATTTTATGTACTTGATAGTACTGAGCATGATGTTGTAGCAAATCCAGAGCTTTTGCAGCACCACTACTTGTATTCTGCTGGACATTGGGTGGCCGAGACAAGTCTTCAGGTAAGGGTAAAGTGTTTCCGGATGGTTGGGCGTATCGGGGCATAGAACCCGGATGCATATATGGGGAACCTCCATAAGGACCTGGGACAAGGACTTGACGATAAAGTGGATGTCCAGGGTCAAAAGGAATTCCGAATGGGGAACCTGGTTGCAGATAAGGTTGAGGAATGTATGCATATGATCCGGCTGTTGGAGGCGGTGGAGGCCCGGTTGTTTCCATTGTGGGTTTTGCCCCTTCGTTGTTTTTGTCTTTTTCCTTTGATATTTCCTTATCAGAATCTTCCTTGGATTTATCACCCGGCCGAAAATGATCACCACCCTTGTTCATGTCGTCACGTTGTTTCGATGACAAATCTTTAGAGTGTTTGCTACAAGTTTGATGGGGCATGTAATGATGGGACATTGATTTTGGAGGTTGCTCATAGTCAGACGATCCAAATTCTGATTTTATTTCACCACAAAACTTATCGTCAGCCAACATGTTTAAAGGACGGCCACCGTCCTTTAGTCCAGGTTCCTGTTTGATATCTCGCTCGAGGAGCTTGTTTTTAAGTGCGTCTCCTGATATTTCCTTTTCCTTGTCTCGTTCATCCGATGATATAAATCCACGTGGAGGATTGAAAGAGTTTTCAGACATTACATTATTGAACTGGCCATGCCCTTGATCAAAGTGATAATTTGAATATGGATAATGAAAGTAGTGCTGTTGATGTGGGAGGTACTTGGGGTGATGAGGAAAGTCCATTTTAGGAGATCGTCCACTTTCGTCGCAAGCATTGGAAACCGACGAAGAGGAAGACGAAGGTGGGGGTGGTCCTGACGAGGGTAAATTTTGTTGCATGATGTGAGAATGCTGTTGACCTGTTTTTAACTTTTCAGCCTCATCTGAGGGAGACAATCCTACTGGTGTTGGATCGGCAAGTTTGGGCTCCATGTAGGGAGTGTAAAATGGAGAAAAATATGGAGCTACGGTTGGGGTGTCCTTCTTCAAATCCGAATTATTTCCATCCTTTACCACCGTCACATTCAAGTCTGCATCACCAGAGTCATTAGCGTCAGATATGTCTGAATAGGCTGGACTTAGTGGATCGTCCCTAGTTTCACCTACAACGCCGGCATTGTTTCCATCTCCAAAGTTGAGCTCTTCTCTTACGGAAGGTCTAAGGTCATCTGCAGACGGTCCTCTGCCTTCGGATGCCCCGGAAGAATTTGATAAATGTGAAAATTTGCCAATTCTCGCTCCAGTATCCTTACTTGATGACCTGTCGCTTTTCAAATCCGACTTTGATTTGCCATCCTTATCTTTATCTTTGCTCTTCTTTTTGTGCTTGTTTTTCTTAGCATGACCTTCCGAGGACTTGTCCTTGGAGGTGGAAACGGTGTGTTTTTCTCCTGGGATATTTAGCGTAATCCCTGTGGAGGATGGAGAATGTTGCGTGTGGGGTGCAACAACGGGATTGTGAACATGTGGCTGCCAAGGAATGCCTTTTGGTTGCAAAATGGGCGTAGGTTTCATCACAGTGTTTTCCTGATCGCGAGATGAATGGATAGAATGGCCAATTGATCTGAACGATGGTACGGTTAGAATTGCTCCCCTTGGGACTGAGGACGCATTGGATGATAAGCAGGTGTCTTTGCTTAAGGACTCGAATGACTTGTTGGAGTCGGACTCTGGCACCTTATTATTAACCTTATTATTGCCACTTTTATTTGCACTTTTTCCACTGATAGAAGAAAGGGGCAAGCTTTGAGTATCACTATATTCCTTGTCACTAATCCTAGCATTCTCATCCTGAGGGTCATACATTGAGGAATCGTCAATTTTTGCCAAGTTTCCATTTGAACCTGATGGTCGTTTTGAAACAGAAATCAACTCATCCATCGTGGTTGGAGAAGCTTCGTCGTCCATATCACAAATGTTATCGATAGCCATGGGCTCACTACTGCTCGGTTGCTGATCGGTAGGAGTAGCAAGTTGAGTGCTTGCAGTGGACGCATTCGAGTCAGAGTCTTCTGCAAAATTGTTGTGGGCGTGTGACTGATGCTGATGTGACTGATGATACCTCAGCCCATTGATATGTTTGTACTTTTTGGAACAATTTGGCTCAGGACATTCAATGAGGGCAGGGGATGATGGGCCACTTGATTTTTCGAGATCAGATAATGGAACGGGGCTATTTGATGGACGGTCCTTGTTTCTCTCTTCCTTGTTGATGGAAACTTTAAGTCTCTTGGTCGTTTTTCCTCCTCCTCCTCCTCCTCCCGATGGTGTTGGTTCATCCTGACTTTCATTTTCACTACCACGAGTTTTTCGCTTAGGCCACTGATCAACACTGCAACCTTTTAATGGACTAGCTGGAGCAACAAAAGCGTTCGATGTAGCACTGCCACGTCGTCCCTTGGCTCCATTCCGAAGCTTTACATTTGCTACACGCACATCAGGTAGTAACTCGTTTACAGGCGTCGCAGCTTGACCACGGCCACGTTTTGCTCGATTTTTTGGCGTCCTCATTTCAAGATCACTTGTTGGTCTAAAAAATAGCAAATACAAACATAGTTTAATGATTTAGACTGGGAATAAATAACGAGTTTGTCCAATTTAAAATGATAATTATAATTATTGTTGTTACTCAAAATAAAAAGAATGAATTAGACTTACGAGTCACAAAAACGAGGTGGTGCCTATATAAAATATGAATAATTTTAAAATGACTTGGAGCGGAAATAATTAAGCATGAAAAAGTATTTATAATTATTAGTATTTGTACCCAGTCATTCTTGGTGCAGTCTATTAAAGTCCCCACGTAGGTTTTTCCTCTCCATGTGACATTTACGACTAGAATACCTGAAAATCACATTAAATTTAATACTCATTATCTGGTATTTTCTATTTTCTTGAAATTTGCCTGCTTTCGGTAACTTATGCATATTATTTGGCATGATGCTTACCATTTTCATTCTCGTGCCACACAATGCCACTCAATTGAATGTCCATTCCGGGTTCACACGGGCCTAAACCGATTCAAAGAGAGCGTGAGATAGAGGACCAGTTTGCAAATGATTTCGTTTGAGGAGATACGGCTTTTATTAAATCATGAATGATGAAATTGAGAACGAATATTATTATAAATGCTCGGTTGACGTTTACATACATTGGAAATTTTGCATCTGCTTAAGACATGGGATTAGAACAAAGCCCCTTCATACAAACAAGTAACAACAAAAATCAAATAACGCCAAACTACTGTAGTACAGCTGAATATAGAAGCAGCATAAAAACATGGAAGATATGTATATGATCATTCATGATTTAATAAACTCCCAAACTTGTCCCCTGTCTTAGATTTGTTTCAGACCTAAAAACTCTGGGTCAGTCACTGTCCCAACGCTGGTACCAATGCAAACATCTTGCGACGAGCCTGATTGAAAGTTTTTAGATTTGGGAGAAGATCCTGGTGGAGGACCTATGAATATAAAATTGCTCGCTTCTAAGTTTGTTTTAATTTTTCAATCTAAATTGCAAACACATCATTACAAATTTATATATTTGCTCGAACTAACCAGTGTGATTTACAGTGGCTGAAATAGATGATGGATTTTCAGAAGAATTTCTATAGGAGGATGCTATTGCTGATAACCCTGTGCTGCTAGATACTCCATCTTCTCGGTGCATCTATAGTGTAAAAGTAATACAACATATTTCTTTATAATGTATAGTGCTTCAGTGTCAACGAATTAATTATCGATTTGCATGCATGCATTTCACATGTCACATGTACATTGCCACCACTAAATGTACTGTGGGAGGATTAAAATAAAATAAATACTTGCTTGTTTAGTCAGAAAAATTGTTACCTGTTTATCGAGGTTCCCATCAAGAATCGCTTTCACTTTCCTTCCAAAAGACTGAATCCCATTATTTCCCTTGTTTTCAGCCGATAGATTTTGTGAAGACGAGCTTTTCTCCATTCCCTTGTTCGGAGATCCGGCTACCCATGCGGAAGTGTTGGTAGTAGGTACTAAAGAATGATTATGATTTCTGGTAGGATCGACTGATGCGGGGGACGGGGAGTGAATGGAATTTTGTGCATTTGACGATGAGATGGAGTTTGGTACTTTAAGCGTAGTTTTAGAGAAAGCAGAAGAAACATTGGGGACAATTGTTGGAACGTTAAGACTGACTGTCGCTGTGAAATAATCTTTGCCGTCCTTGATCGTGTGAGAAATAGAGTTGTTTTTAGCAGTGTCCGATGATGAAGTTGAGTTACTGTTTCGCTGCTCATTCTTTTTATTAGAAGTTCCATTATTGTTGTTATTGTTGTTGCCATTTTTGACTTTTTTGTTATGGGGCTCCTTTCCCTTTCTTGGGGTTTTATTCTTTGCCTGCTCACCATTTCCCGTACCAGACACTGTAGAAGAATCTTTGTTGATTATGGCGGAATCTTTGTTCAGACCATTATTTATGCTGGTTCCAGAAACACCACTTGCACTACCATGATTGTTTATTCCCCCTCCTCCTCCACCCACAACACTGTCCACATCAATCATGATTCCGTCTTTAATTTTATCTTTGTCTTTATGAGAGGAAGACGAATGACCTTTGGAGGAAATTGACTCGTTCAAACTGCTTGCACCAAGACTGGTCTTGCTATTTGAAACGATCCCACCAGTGTTATTATTATTAATACTACCAGTACCACCACTGCTACTACTATTGCTACTACTATTACTAACTGAGGATGACAACAAGGAAGAAGCAGAAGTGTTTAAATCAGTTTTGACAATTTCGTGCTTTTCATCTGCTCCACTCTTTGTTCCTGTCTTGGTTCGCTTTATCTTCATTTTCAGTCCTTTGGGATCCACGACTGCGGAATGTTCCATACTATTATTTCCGGATAGCTCAACAGACGTTGCTGCTGCAGTCCCACCTCCTGTAGAATTATTCTTGGAAGAAAATGGGGCAGAGTTGGAGGTCTTGCCCTTGGTGGAGGAAGCGTTTGAGGTGGTACTGGTGGTGATACTATTTGTGGAGTTGTTTGAAGACGCTGATGATGAGGTGCTACCGGAAGAGCCGGAAGTTGTTGGGATATGCATTTGAGAAGTAATGGGCGGTGTTATCGAAGGACTGATTGCGTGAATTGGACTGTTACTATTTGAGGCGGCGGCGGCGGCGGTGGCGATGGCGGCGGCTGAGCTGCTAGTCGCAGAGGTATTAGTTACTCCTCGGGTGGTTTCGTTGTTGTTTGTTCTTCGTTCAGCATCCGCAATGTCAGCATCCAAGTCAATAATTAAATTTCCTATCCCTACATCCCATTCGCTGTCATCTTCAAAATTGGCATCTGATGTGCGGCTCGTTTTGCCGGCCCTTAGGCCCTTAGGCCCGCTGTCAGATCCGCCGACGTCATTCATTTGCAAATCCCATTCACATAGTAGTTCCACCGTGGAACACCCCCCACGTTAAAAAAACTTGCACTTCCACGTACTATGCGTTGCAAAAGTGAGGGTGGTAAGACGGACACAAGAATAAATAACTAAACACTTTGAAAAGCGTTCAGTTTGCTCGTGGAGGATCTTGGAGGCGGTGGTCAGATAGAAGGGGTCTGCTTACTCCAAGAGGCCTGAAATTCAATACACAATCATTCGTACCAATGATTAAATGCAAATGCATTGTTTTGCACAATGATATTGGTTATTGGGAAAATAACGACATATTGTAGAATACAAATATTTTTACTTATTGTGTATGCATTCATGTCTTTCTTAATATTTGCTCATGATTTCATATTTTCTGACATGCATAAGCATTTGAGTATAAACTGCATTTGTGGGCTTAGTTTTAATCTTTAAAATAGCCTGGATTATGGACTACTTGGAATATACATATGCATACACGTATGGATATTGCATAGTCTCTCTGTCTCTCTACATACAGTCTAAAAGCCTGTTAAATATACCACCACACATACGGATTAAGAACTGAAGTAAACCCTGTTGCCAGCCAGCGAAATTGTGATGTGTCTCATTTACTTCACCATCCTTTCAACATTCCATTCTGCATAATAATAATATGAGTTTTGAGTGGTCGTTTAATACTTTGGTCATTACATTATCTGTGGAACTCGTCCAAGTTCCAAGTTGCAGTTAAGAAAAATGTTTAAAAATGTAAATCAACTGCTTATGACTGCATAAGAATCCAATGCCATCACGCATGCCAAAATAAATAGTATAACAGAATATGTTTAGTACTTATTTAATAAAAAAATCTCAAGCAGGAATAAATTAAATGCGATCAAAGTGTCAATTTTCTATGAGCACGAAGAAATATGAAATTTGTTCATTTTTACCCACTGGTTTTAACAGAATCTTAAAAAGAAGGTTGAAAAACATGTTCTTGAACTACCAACTACGAAATGTCTTGTAAAGAAGAAGATATCCCTTTATGTGTCCAAGTCCAACCACCGCATGTACGACTGTGGTATCGAGTCGACTGCATTCTACGCATGTACAAATCTTTCTTCTTCCTTTCCACACTCTCTGACTACGACTTCTTTCCAAGCAACCAACCAGCCAAGTCGCCTATACCCACCGAAACAAGATGAGAGATTAAGATCCTTCTTGGCGAATGCTGCACCAAGAAACCAAAGAAGAAGAAGGAGGAGGAGGAGGCGAGGAACTGGCATTATTATTTGCATTCAGTCTACAATCTCGGAATACTTGATCATGTTCTGCGAGATGTTTTTTTGATTACTCTGGTGGTAAGACTGGATTTGGCATGGACATGAGCGCAAATGAGATTGAAGACTTGCAACTTTTGATTATTTGCTTTCATTGTCGGTTTGCTTACCACTCTGTTTGGATTGACTTGATGATTGGATCAAGAAGACGGAATGCAAATGTGAGCAGAATGGGAAAATTGGACAACTATTTATTGCGTTGCCATCATTTTTATGGTAGCTCTCATCTTCCATTACTCGTGTTTATATCCACGTCCTCGACTTGATTGATTGTAATGTGATATGCGTGTAATAGTTGTCATCAATTTTCACTCTGCTGCACTGAATCATTATTTTTATATGCTGCGCACAAGAAAATTCTTTCACCTTTTGCAAAGCCTACTCGAATAAATATGTATGCACTTATATGAATGTACATATGCATGCATTAAGGCCCATACTTTTGTTAAAATTAAATTACAAGTAGTATGATCCTGCTGCTGATGAGGACATTTAACATTAATCTGAATCACCAGTGTATAGTTGAATGTCCACTCTATAGAGGCAATTCAATACATAAATCTAACACTCTACAAATTGGAATTATTGCATGCAACTTTTAACTGTGTATTTAGGAATGTCATCTGAATGATTTAGAAATGAAAATCCCTGCATGTATTAATTACCTATCGCAAATTTGATGAGTTCTGTGATGAAGAAAGATTAGCCCTCGTTGCTATTTCATAAAGCATAAAAAGTCTTCATTTTAATTCTCATTATTTTAATCTCTGCCTCTAATTAAAGAACACACATTGCAAAGACACTACTCACTCCATACATATGCTCCTGTGCCTGACTATGCCTACATATTAGTTATGTATGTATAAGTTCATTATCCTGAACCTCCTGACACTGAAAACAATCATATCAAAGAGAATTATCATGAATAGATAGTCACCTACTGATAAACTCTAATTATAATAATCCATTCAATTCTGGACGATTATTAAGTCAATTCAATCATTGGCTTGTTGTTTCCTCATGCCCTCTTCAAAGTTTCGAGGTTCTTAATTGCAATTGTATTTTCAGAGTTCTGCAAGTTATGTCTAATTTTCCTATTAACAAAATGGTCAAACTTTGTGGATCCGTCCAATGTTTCGGTAATCAGTGTGGACAAACGCATTTATTACGGAGATTGCAATCACCAAGCCAAATAAAGTAGTTTTCATAGTAAGCAGATTACCAGTAAAATATTGCAAAGGATAATAATCCTCTATTATTATCCTTCTTTGCAAATATGTATGCATCCTTTATTCCTTAGAAAACTTTTGCCCTATTGCACTAATAATATACAATAGTGTCACGTATGCCATTTATTATATGCCATATGAGCAAAAAGTGATTGGCTTGGCACATTATGTGTCAAACTTTACGCATATGCCAATTACACAAATGTAACGTACAAAATATTTATAAAACTATGCAGACAAACGAGTAGCTGATAATACTAGTTGTAGGTATGCATGCATATTAAATGAGCATATATGGTCAAGCAGAAAGAAAGGATACTAGAGCTACACAGATATGTTCAATGCAAATATGACTATGTGACTCACCATTACAATTTAGAATCCTGTTAATTATTAATTTATCCTCCATTCATGTATGCATATACTTGGCAATGTTGAGCATTGTGCATTACTGCGAAATTTATAATCCAAGCCTTGTTGTTGATTTACTCAAAATAATTGACCATTTTTTACACATACACACACGCACGCACATATTTATTTACTCTTGGTTTCGCCCTTTTCCAATTATTTTTAAAACTTTCAAGAGGCCACGGAGCAAGGTGAAGGTCGGTACCGTAAAGCATCCACCCACAACAACTTATCGCTCATTCGAACCAAGAGATCTTTCCAAAAAGATGAACCAAGCACATTTTGGTATTATATCAGTTAAAACTAAACTATGTATTCCAAACGTGTGTGCGGTCAATCACAGCTCCACACATCAACACTTGTCGTATTCAGGCCACTCAAAATTAAAAAGGCATTATTATTACTATTATTATTACGTGCTGTATAATATGCGGCACAGTAAATCAGATAGTTACTACACTAATTAGTATGCCAATATTAAAAACTCTCTGTTGTTGTAGGCTCCACTCGCTCCAAAACTCCACTGCGACGACCAAAGCGTTCGTCGTTCCTTGTGTGTGGTCCTTTCCTTTTCCGTGTTTTCTGGTTTGCTATTATTAAGTATTTTGTGATGTTGGCGTTTGTTCCAAACAAACGGTTAACTTGTTTTCACAGACAATATTACTATTCATTGACACCTCACTTGCTGCAGCATTTCAAGTGTCGTCTCACTTAGTTAACTGGTGTAACTGGTGGTCATCATACGAGACAGAGACATCATTTAATCAATCATCTATATTGTCTTACACACACGCTTTTTGTGTATCATCAAACCACACAGCAGTATCAGTACGCGAGTATCCCCATCCACCACGAAACCATGTAGTTATATTTATAAGGCTATGTTGTCCAACTGTGTATAGGCAAAAACCTCGTTAAGAAGACTATGGTGCAGAGATATCAGTAGTGGTTTGTACGTATGGCAGAGAAAGAGACTCCCAAACTCACAACCAAGCGTTCACTACTCGGACCAACGCTGCACAATGGTTTCGCCTCTCGCTCTGTGTAATAATAATCACTCGTTTCTTCTTTGAATCCACTCTGTCTGTCCACCAACGCAACTTGTGCCGTTTTCTGCGAATATCTGTGCTAAAAATTGTTCAGAAATGTAAAATGAGACTGTCGTGATTGGGGTGTTTTTTAGGAGGAGATGGGAAAACGCTGAATGAACTGGAAACTTTGGTGGCAATATTATTATTATTCCACAACAGGAGGAGAAGAAGAGAGGGGAAAGAGCCAGCCTCTGCCGCCTTCAGCAATATTTCGAGAACTGGCTTCCCATCCCCTTTAACTCTGTTGCCCAAGCACTAAAAGTGCCGTACAGTAAATTCGCCCTCCGAGGTTTCGTTCCAACCTCAGTTTTAACCAGCTTTCCTACGCCACTTTCCTCTGTAAAAACCGATGGATTCCACATTCTGTTTTATGTTGCCTGCTTCTTCTTCTTCTTGGTTGTCGTCTTCTTCGTCTTCTTGGTAATATTGGTAAGCAGAGGATAAAGGCGAAGAGCAGGCAGAAAAGAGCTGGTTGGTTTTGTGTTGGTAAATCTTTCGGGTCCAATCCAATCTCCGTTGAATACTTGAGAGTTGCAGTAAGTGAGTAGCGAATGTGGCGTGTTAAAACATAAGCTGGCCATAAGTAAGCACTTACATATTTTCCGAGAAGAGGAGACACGAAGACAGCTTACTTCATTTATTTCTGCCGCACAAGCTGCTATTATTAATCACTCCAAGAAGCGAGTGAATGGGTGTAATGTCATTATCCATGCGTTGCACTCTCTATGCACCCAGCTCAAATGGATTCGTAAATACTTGTCATTCATTCATCTAGCCTCTAATTGCCCACCATTTTTTATTACACGGGCTGCATAAACTAATCAACAACCATTTCCACGCTTGACCAACATACTTGGCTGGTTGGTATGTTGAATCCACCATCAATGTGCTTTGTGTTATTGAATCTCTTAATAAGAGATAATATTGATATTCTTGGTCACATCCGTCGCTATCATGATAAAAGAAAATCAAGGGATTATTTGTATAGCTGCTTCTATAAGGATCCAACCGATGATGAGTTTATGCAAAAGTGTGAGTCAATCATTTGTATCTATGTACACATATGTATGTACCTGCTTCATAAGAGTCTTTACTTGAAATAACTGAACGTGTGGCTTATTTTTACGCTTGACAATGCGGTGTGTGCTGATTAGATACCATCTGTCATAAACACGCTGGGTATATTAGGCAGATAAGTTCATGCAATATCAATTCATTGTTATTCTTGTTCATGTGTTTGTTGAGGTTGTACGTTAGATTTAATGATAGGTTGACATCTAAATCAAAGCATTATATCTGCCTGCATTTAATATGCCTCGTTCCATTGGCAATTCTAAAAGTCAATAGAAATTGTCCATCGTGTGGAATGTACTATGTAATATTGGACGATAAACCCTCGATCTCAGATGACTTTAGCTAATGGTCAGTCAGTCCTAATACATATGTATTGCCCGTTAATAATTAGCCATATCTATTTGTTATCAAAAACTCTGTTACAAGGTTCTTCTCATTTGGAAAGGGTGCTTAATCATCTACAAAGCAGTTGCTCAGTTCTTGGGGAGTAACATGAATTTAATTGATAGGTGCATGGTAGCCCGTCATATTCCGGTCAATTCTTAACGAAATGAAGAACAGTCTATGCACACATGTGGAAAAATGTATGCATGTAGTTTGTAAGCTCTTATTTGTTATTATAGATATTTACTGAACATGTGTACATCCTCAGTTTTTATGTGTACGTATGTATGCATTGAACGATAATGTACTCCGTTGAACGTCTAAAAGCCAGTATTTGTTTTCCGACGAGCCAATAACACAATCATTTTCTAGTTTCCATTGCATTGCCAAAGGTATCAGCTAACTAAGCACCTCTCTTACTAAACTATATAGCAAAGCTCTACTCTTACTTGGAACTTGTATGTAGTTAGTCCTCTCCCAAATACATAGATCATTGTAAAAGGTACATATTTATGTGCAACTGGAGGTGCATAGTTTCTAAACAATATCATCATCACAACGATAAGTGTAAGTACATAAACGAACGTACACAAAATGATGTAATGCCAAAGTTTGAATATGGAAAAAATACTCTTTAAAATAATGAAATACACGTAGATTAATAAAATTATGGTCAAATTAGGTGGTGTGTATGTGGTTAAATGAAATTGAACGTTATGATTCTACCTCTGCACAGAATTAGACTTTTTCAGCCCTCAATCAGCTACGCTACATATGTGTTGGGAACTTTTGAGATATGTTATCCCTTGGCTTGAACCTCTATTTGCCATGATTGTCACCAACCAAATCGCTCTACTTCAAATGCTCATTATTGTATCACTTCATCCCATCTGTAAACTGTGTTAGAAATTATATATTGTGTCCCAAATTATTTCCTTTTTATCTTTGTTGTTTTCTTATGACTCATCCAAGTCAACTAGCGACAGGATTCTGCAACAATAAATAATACCTCTTACTTACATAGTTTACGAAAGCCTTGAAACATTGATCTTCTTTATCAGCAGGGGTAGCCAGTTTAAAGTAATGGACCTTTCAGTACGGTATTGACTCTTATTAAACATCACTGTTGAACGAGACTGTCACTCTTATAGATTATGTATGTATGCTTTGTTGAGCTGTCGGGAAAATATGATTTCTAGAAGAGAGTGCTTACTTATATTGTTACTTTTGACTTTGGATGGCTGGGAGCATCTCGTGGCTGTGGTGGTTGGAGAGCATAATTCACAGAAATATTTATTTAAGTTTTCAGCCAGTGAGCTGTGTAAGGTCACAAACTATGCTATGCTTCCTCCTTCTTATCTTCAACGTCTTTGTTTTACTTGAGGTCCTTTCGCCTGGAATAGCGTAGAAGATGCATTTAGAAAACTAGCTGATTATCATAGCTAGCTAAAGTAGCTGAGCATTACAGCTTATGCTCCTTCTTATGCCAAGTAAATGTAGTGTGTACTTGTTTAAACTTGCCTTTATATATTTTATTAGTCTTAAATTTTTAATTTGATATTGAAAGCCAGTTAATGGCATAATCGGCAAGAAGATTTAAAGCTCCGTATGCAGATAAGTATTTATGAATAACGTACATGACATGCATAGGGATTCTTTATTAGAATGGAATACACAATACGGGGGAGCTATCATCCTGTTTATATGTGTCCATGTCCACTTAATACTTGCATCGTGTGGTATTATTGTACACAGCCCTCTGAACGACCGACGTGTATTACGGGCTGATGCGTGCATAAGCAGTATTAACATCCTCAGAATGGGTTGGCCTGGCTGGTAAATTATGTATAAAGCACGAAGCTAAAATCTCTTTTGATTCTGTAATGCAATGATGAATCCATTTGAGAGAAGGAAAAGTGTTGGAGTTTTACAAGACAAAAGAGCATATAGCCATTTAGTTCAACTACACATAAGGCAGAGGTGGTAGCAGCAGGCAGGAACAACTGCAATATTATGTCACCTCCGGATTCTCTTGTCCAAAGCCTTATAACGTGTAGCCTGTTTGCCCTATGCGATTCTTTGGTCTCTCTGTCGGGAAAGTTACATACATAGCTCAAGTTATTATATGATGCGTTTACATCCGTGACATTCTTTCATGTTTTTGGCTCGTGGTGGTATTACATTCGTTGTATACACTATTAACGATGCGCCGCATTACATCTCCCATCCACGAATACCGCATCACAATTCAGTCAGAGTGACTCTACAGTACACACACTTGTACTCGTCTCATTACACACGGGCCGAACGGGTGTGTATGTGGAAGGAAGGAAGGAGACCTAATAAACGGGCAACACTAAAAGCCTTTCTTTCTCTTGTTCGCATTTATTCAAACCCAAAAAGTAAGAACACACTGCCTCAATTTTGTTCCAACTAAGAAGAAAAGGCTGCTCAGGCAGGGTAGCCCGGGTATTAAGGACTTTAAGAAACTGGTCGGAAATGGAATTGCAGTTTCCCCTTTAGTTCTTTTTTCTCTCTCTGTCCGAGAAGAAAGTCGGGTTTAGTCAGCCGAGTCAAAAATACTTGAATATAAAGGCTGAATAAAACCAATACAGGGAACAGGAGAGATCGCGATCTTTATGGATTCACCCCAATCCATTATTCGCTTCTATGTATATATGTAGGAACAAGGAATAATAATATTTACGAAAGCGTTTGCCTTGCAACCGTTCAACCTACGATTTTTAAAGTATGCGAGACCCTGACTCCAGTCGTTGCACCAGTTGTTGCTGTCTGGAAAACAAAAATGAATATAATGATAATATGCCACACGTATATGCCAACTCGTGCATGCATGCATAAGAATTTCGATAATGCATCCGTCTAATCCACTTGAAATGCATCGTCGGTCAACGGTTGGCGCATTTTTACTTGTTATTTTTTGCATACGAGTTACACATTTCACACCATTTCCAGTACTTTACTTATGCAATTACTTATGCAATAGACAGATTAAAATTAAATTTGGTGAGGACACTTTGGGTTTGTCTCATATTTGAACGTATATCCACTCTTATCCAAATCTTTCATTCATCGAAGCTGTGATCTCCAATAAGTATTTATACAGATACGTTGTTCTTGGAAGCATTTCTCCTCGGTCAAAATTCAGCTGTTTCTTGTTCTTGAGTATATTTTGCGAGCGGTATGCATTCACGATTCAGGACCAGGCCGAGTAAGCTGCTGGAAGTTGCATGTAATATGCCAAACAAGGGATTCATCTATCTATTTGGTAGCGGTGCAAGGAAGGAGTAGGTCTTTCGCATGACTCTATAGCACGGCCTTTCTTTCGGAGGCACTATTGAAGTAGCTGAAGTCTGCTGCATGCTGCTGACTGCTTTACCCTCTCTTCTCTGGTATCTCATCCTCTGAACTCGGCAAACCAAACTCGACGGAAAAGAGTCTTTTCTGTGAAGTGTTCAGTTGAATCTGCTTTTCTATCCCGTCGACAAGGCAGGCAACCTCCATTCGCCCATCACTTAGCCTGGGCAAGCAACCTCCATCGTCCCCAACTTGCAGCAGCAGCAGCAGCAAGCGCATTACGAGACTACTACCCGTGTGTGCCCAGTAAAATGGACTTTTGGAGTTCACACTACTACCACCTACTCCATGCTGCTGCCTGCTAGTTACTTATACTCGGCTTGGCATCACCAAGCAAACCAATTCTCCTCCACCAACGAAAGCTTTTATGCATGCACAGGATGGGAATCAA